CTTGAACCCCACCAAAACTGGGGGTGATCTCAAATGCCACGGAATGGTAAGCAGATCGTGCTCCAAATGTGGCACCCGTCGTGTCGTTCATGTTAGAACAAACCCGGTGATAAGTCTTATTCAGTAGGTCACGTCCGAGAAAAAGGGCGGGATTGTAGTTACGACAATTGGAACATATCCGTTGTCATCTGTGAAACGGATATTCCATAACGGCCAACCAAATCGTGATGGCGTTCGTAAAATTTACAAAGTGACGATTTCAACTTCACCACTTGGAACTCTTGGTTCAATAGCTTCATTGTGTGCAGCAACCCTCTATCAAGGAAATCATGATAGGAAATACAAGCTCTTGAATATTGTATCAACTGGGAGATATATACTCCGTATGTTGGTGCTGCTGGAATGTTGCTACATAGAAATGGGAAGTTCACAATTGCTGAAAGCATCTCTTTAGTCGTAAAGCTTGTTTTCAACCGACCATCATTGTCAATTTCTAGATGCAAGTCAAGATACGAGGTAGACTTAACTGTATCTGTTGTATCCTTAATCTCAAGTTCGATGGGATAGATGCGTTCAATATAGTTACCAAATTTTGAATTATTTAGTTAGAGAACATCATCTATATAGCGGAAAGTGAAGCCAAAGGGTACTTCTAACTTCTTTTCTTTCTTCCGAAGAAGTTCCTGTATGAAGTCAGCCTCATATGAATAAAGGAACAAGACGGCAAGAAGAGGAGCACAGTTGGTTCCCATGGAAATGCTGATTGTTTGTTGAAAAAACATATCCTTCAAACGGAACAAATATTTTGTCAATCAAGAAATCAAGCATCTTGTTAATGTCAGTTTCAGAGAATTTTTTGTTTGAATCAGAGTGATTTTTTACAAAGTACGATTTAAACCTCCCTTAGACAAGAAACTTGTATCTATATAGGCCATTCTTTTTTATGAAACAAAGCAGGACCAACTCTTTCAATTTGTCTTTTAGTTTGGAATGGGGAATACTCGTGCAAAGTGTAGAAAACTCAAATGCTTTAATACTATTGCAAGACGAAAGCGTTTTAGATTGTATGTACTCTAAAAGATCTTTGGAATCTTTCCAAAAAAAGTCCTCTAGCACGGTTATGGGGGAAAATGACAGAATTCGACACTTTACAAGTTTTTACATAATCGTTACAACAAGGTCAAACATGCTTTTGCGGTCTTCTAAAAGCAGCATAGTCGTCTGTTGTAAATTGACCGATTGGATCATAATCCCTATCGTGACATCTTGACGCAGTCTGAATCCGCTTGGCGGGTGATGTATACATATCAGGAGAAGCTCTGCACGCTGTCGACGTACCAAGATGTGTGATTTATGAGAAAACATGCGATGAGACAGGATGGACAAAAAACGAAAGACGAAGATACCCTTTTCGAATATTTAACGAGTTAATGAAAAATTCATGTCACTCAATCTACTTCTAGAATTGTATAAACAATAAAATTTGTAATAAGTGCCGTACGATATAAAAAAAAAAAACAAATATGAAAAAAGCAATGATATGATTTTCGTGCATGGATGCATGTTTCTGGAATGGATAACTTTCATCAGGTACGAATTATTGAAAGCCAAGCGTTTAAAAAAATTGAGAACAAAACAAATCTAAATGAACAAAATGCAACATACTTTGTATGACCATGAAAGTATTATATTGACAGGAACTCCAACGAAAAATTAGCTCATTCGCATCCCACTGATTTCTTTAAGAAAATAAAAGGTTCGGACTCAGTTTGTCAAGTACGTATAACTCCTTTGTGGGGTATCTGCGATGCCGCCTTCGCCTCTTCTGTTAACTGACGCTGGTCTTACCACGTGATTTGTTATCGAATTTCTTATCTACCTACCAATGTAAATAAACACGAAAACTCCAGTGGTTATTTGTGGATCGCCACATGAATGACGACACCTGTTTCCGCTCAATTAATGAAGGCGAAAGCTGAAAAGATTTTAAACAGAATGACATAAGAAACTTAACTGCATTTGGAAAGAAGGCAAGATTATTTTTAGTTTTGGTTAGTATGTTTTAATCATTGGAACTTGGAAATCCTGAAATCTCCGGTATTAAAAATTACATGCACCTGAAGTAGGTTGTTTGCAGAAAATAATGTGATGCGCGTAAAGGATGCAGGATGGCGAAGGATAACTCAAATTTTAAGTTAAAGGTTGTAAATTTTTATCGAGTGTTACAAGAATATTTATGATTTTCTCTATCGTCTCAATGTAGAAAAATGTAATTGAACATATTTATCGAATATGTTTTAAAAACTAAAAATAGGTTGATAATTACACGCACGTGATGACCTCTACATAGCATGTATCAGGTTATAACACTGATAACATGTTACACCTTTTGTAATAATTCAAAAGTTAAAACAACCTTCAACTTAGTCCGAAATTGCCCTGACGTCTGACGGATTTTTTTAGGAATGGCTTAACTTTAAATATTTCTGGATGCATATCATGATGGCCCGGCCTTAAGCAGTATAATATTTTTTTTATTCTTAAGATTTTATCATGGGAACCAAATTTAAATTTATTTTTGTGTGTAAATGCTTAACAGTTCTGAAACATCTTACATTGTTTGTTAAGCAATTTATGTTTTGTTTCTTGTCGAATTGCTTAAAATATTGGACTCTCAGTAAACAATTTATCAAAATGTTTGTCAAAGTTAGCAGTAAACCTCAATAATAGATGCAGAATACAACTATTTTTTTCCTTACACAAGGAATTTATTGTTATTCAAGCCACTATTAAAATAAGGAGATATGGTATGACTGCCCATGCGCTATTTCATTATGCCAAAATATGATATTTTTCCCGATCAAAGCCCTTTAAAATCACTCTTCATTTTGACCTTTCCTTGACAACTAAGTACACATCCGGATACTTCGGTATATTCCGTGTTTACGATCAATGACGAGGTTCCAAAAATTTGATTGAACCCATGCATCGATATGACAAGTCGAGTTAATTAACAGATACTTCACGATTTTGTGGTATCGCATTATAAAGTTTGCAGTCGGTTTGTTGGAGTTCCTGTCAATATAATACTTCCATGGTATGACATTACTGAAATCAGTGAAATCGCTAATTACTATTCGTTCACCTTAACTTTATCATGAGGAACTAAATAAAAACTTCATTAAAAAAATCTATGGCAAACGCAATTAATGCTTTGCTGTTTTCCCGTTTTATTTTTTCAGTGTATTTGTATTATCAAAATTTGAAATTGTATATATATATAAAATAGGTTTGAACGTTGGTTTCAATTTAGACTTGTTTATATATAATATATATATATATATATAAGTACGTCTGAACCAGTGACAACTCTACGATAGATTTTATCCATCGGATCACCAGTAATGATGATACAAGGCTGAAAACACATTCTGTATATATAATTCGTCTAAATAACAGCCCAACAATGTTAAATCTGTATATTTGCGGAGGCAAATTTTTGTTCTTCCCTGGCTGGGATTCGAACTCATGCTATTGGGATATCGAGACAACACTGCCTGCACTGTGTCCAGCGCTAATCAAGAGAACATGCTCAACTGAAAATAAGCAAAATGTAAGACTTGGACAACTATGTAAACATCTAGTTGTTCGAGAATACAATAACAACAGTATTGATACGGCTTTCGAAAAAGCAATCAGAATTAGCCGCCAAGAACTTCTGGAGTACAAGGATAAGAATAAAGGAGTCAACAGAACAACTCTTGTACTCACTTACCATCCTGATTTTAAAAATGTGTCATCCATTGTTCGAAAGCATTGAAACATTAGAGAGAATGACTCTAATTTGAAAAAAAAAGTATTTTCCTCACCACCAGTCTTAACCTACTCCACATCCTGGTTGCTACAAACAATGCGGGAGAAGGAATTGCGTATGTTTTAAAGCTGCCAATACTATCAGTTCTTTCATCAGCTCCTTTACAAAACAAAGTTATATCATCTACACAAATTCCAACTCTAAAACGGAGAACTCAATTCATGTATTAACAGGTAACACCTGTGGCATTCAGTAGGTGGGAGAAACAATAGACAAATTTAATATTCGGCTAAATAACCATCGATCATGGTACAAAACCAACAAAAACTGTCCCCTCACAAGATATCTTCGCTCAAAGAAACATCCTTTTGATTATGTTACTTCTCAAATTATAGAAGTGGGAAATTAGAAATTATATAGCGAGACCTAATATATTCTATTACTAGTATTGAATTCGGTTCCTTACCAGTGAACACTGATTGGGATACTACGGCGGGAAGGAGAAGCGAAAACTTCGTCCTCGGTCAATATAATCTGAACAGGTCCATATATAACGTATTGACCTCGTCAAAAGTCCATAATTGATAAATCAGACATTATGTTATCACTTACCGTTATCCGATTCTGTACACGTAACATGAAGCACACAAGTTAATCATGCATGTTAATATTATTCAAGTTTATGTATAGTTGTGTATTTTAACAAGTTTCCTTATTAAGGTGTCAATGTCTTTCTCAGATATACTTTGCGCTTCAAGTGTTGAGATATTTCGATTTTTTTTTTACAGGATTCGAACAAATTAAATTGTCTTGTGCAAAAAGGGCATTTCATAAAATTAAATTAATCGCAAACAAACGACAATTTCATTCATTTACTTAATAGAAAACAAAGAATATGGGGGTGTCCATCAATGACTCAAAATCTGTATATGCACAGCAAACTAAAACACACAAAATGCAAAGGAACAGCGCTTTTATTGCTGTTCTTCATCTCAATGTCACAGTGAGGCCTTCAACACGAAGCAAAAAAACTCTCACCTCACTGCAAGTTTAAGACGGCCCCTATCACCGGCTTGAGCAGAATTCTTTGCAAAATTTGGATAGACTTTGTAAGATGTAAAGTTAACATAAAAAGTTTTACAATTAAGGCGAGTAGGCATTAAAAAAAACCAACATTTCTAGTATATAAACTAGTCCTCCGACAGTTCCAATACTGTTTTATAACTTTTTAATATCCCAAGTTTCAATTCAGAAAACAAATTACCAAACTACTAAAATGAATGGTAGTAACTACTAGGAAACGCTATAACTATTTCTTGTCTATTTGTCATAGATTAAAACGAAGGTTCATGTCTACACCTGTCATATTCTTTTCATACACTTTGTCAAACAATTCATTCTGTGTCACCGTGAATACATTCTTCCATCCTCCTACTTTTCCTGAAAAATACATATAAAACAGTTGTAATAAATACATACCTAGATTTTTAAGGAGGGTGTATAAGAACAATTATTTTCATTTTTCATTAAGTGAAAGAAGTTTGGAACCCCAGTTCAAATTAGAAGGACACATTATTTCGAATAAATAAATACTTAAATTTAATTGACTAATGTCGTGTGAACATCTGAATAGTGCTATTTGATAAATGAATAGAACTTTTGAATTTTCCAAATTCAAAGAACCAATAAAATAAGCCTTATCACTTCGTCTCCATTAAGGATGATAATATTTGTAATACAAATAATTTAAATTAAAAAAAGTAATGGTCACAGTATACTTATTTTATATCCAGAAAGACAATTAATTAAGTCATTGAAGTAGTTACCGTAAATTGGGAAATTTTGGAGTCGGGATATTTAGGCGGTTTTTCTCACGAAATGCATGTGTTTTATTTTGGTTTGTGTAATTTTGGTGCTTTGTTCAATTGATATGTTTATTTTTTGAAAAACAGTAGTGAGCAAGCTCATTCATATTTACTTTTATTTACCCGTTTATTGACAAAATATCATTGAATTTCTCAAACTAGAAATAGGACAAAGTTAATCTAATGAAGGAATCGGATACGGATGCAAATGCAAAAAATTCTGTCTATTGTGGTTCAAAGCTGAAAGAAAATATGAAATAAAATCTTTAACATTAAAATCACTTTTTAAATAGATTATTTATTTTTTACAAATATCATATGAAATAAATTTTAATCATCTCTATTGCAGAACATGGTAATTTATTGATGATCAAGGATTTACATTTTAATCCTTATGTCTCTGGCAGTACATGTTAATTAATTTGAGATAAAGGATTACAGGCAGTTTTGATATTCTAATTACCAATAACGGTGTCTAATAAGTAATAGCCTGGCATATTTATGACATGTGTGAATAAACATTCATGTTGTGTTTTCTTAACAATTTCAGAAAATGGAGATTTAAGTAAAAATTGTAAAGTGTTGTTGTCAAATTATATCAAGTATTTAATTGCAGATTTGTCTATGTATAGAATTGTAGGGAATATACGTAAGATATGATAACAAAAAATATTTTCCCCATAATTAACATAACGATATTGTCGTACCGGTACGCGATTTTGTCGTTTCATTTTTAGTGTTTGCTTTATTTTCGTGTTTAATTTTGCACTTTAATTGGAGGCACCAAATAAACCAAAATAAAACTACAACCAAAATAATCCAATTTACGGTATATGACAGTCTACACTTCTAATAACTATTCATTGTTTTTTTCGACAATGAAACCATTCTTTATCTTTTCTATTCCTTAATATAAAGAACCAACACCCAAATTGCTGTCTCATGAATCAATTTTTTATGAATTAAAACTAAATGTGTATACAGTTATGGTATGTTATGGTCCTACACCCTGTCTTTACTATATAGTTTTATTTTGGCATTGCACAAGGTCATGCTTTACTGTTTATGACGTCTTTACACTAAATCCCTTGAAGACCTACTGACTGATACTTTAGTCTGAGAGAACACGATTTATTTATTATCTGTTATTAGCTTTGGACTAGCTTTTGGTAGCTGCGAGTACCCTCAGATATGTACTTTATGTTTTTTTTATGCTAGTTGTATGTGGTGCTTGATACCAATAAGTCAAGTCCAGCCATTTCCAACTGAACTTTTAAGTTTGATTTTATGCTGTGCTGTTAGACCACTGTCCCAAGTAAGGAGGAGGGTTGAGCGCTCACAAACACGTTTTACCTTACACAAAAACTTTCCCATCAGTGTTATGAGGAAGATCGAATTATATCGGTATTACACAAGTTTTACGGTCACCATTTACAAATTGGTTGACCGATACGATATGTCAGTGTCTTAACTCACTAGCGGCATGTTTTCGCAGTCTTAGATCTTCGGATATCAGAATATGTTCTTATCTATAATCTATAATTTTACCGATTGTGTCCCATTCCCGTTTGTAACATTTTTACTGTTACATGGCTGGAAATGCATGCAATGAAGGAGATACGTACACTGTCGATGCAACCGGTCTCGCTCTTTCTGGATTTCCTGAGCTTTTGTTTCTTTCCTAGATATGGCTATTTTGATAGATTTATGAGACTTGAACATCAGTTAACTACAGTTGCCTTGATTTATCCGCGTCACATTATGTATGTGCCTGTCCCAAGTTAAAATAGATATAGGAAGATGTGTTACGAGTGCCAATGAGACAACTCTCCATCCAAGTTACAATTTATAAAAGTAAACCATTATAGATCAAGGTACGGCCTTCAACACGGAGCATTGGCTCACACCGAATAGCAAGCTATAAAGGGCCCCAAAAAATTACTAGTGTAAAACCATTCAAACGGAAAAACCAACGGTCTAATCTATATAAAAACGAGAAACGAGAAACACGTATGAACTACATAAACAGACGACAACTACTGTAAAGCCTGTCTGTCATAACTGTTTTTAGTCCCCTACCGACGAAGTCGAAGGGGACTTTAGGTTTGCACTTCGTCCGTCCGTCCGTCTGTCTGTCTGTCTGTCCATCTGTCTGTCTGTCCATCTGTCTGTCTGTCCATCTGTCAGTCCGGCAAATCAGTTTTCCAGACTTTTTTTCTTCGTGCTAGAAGATATTGATTTGATATTTGGTTTATTGTTTTATCATGACTAGTTACAGGTCAAGTTCAATTTTCACGCTTTTAGCTTTTCTCTTTGTTCAGTTAAAGCCCTTTCCCTAGAATAAAATTTTTGATGAAATACTTATTAATTAGTAGATTTCTGTTCAAAGGGAAATAACTAATTTTTTAAAAGATTTTTTGGATTTTTTTCTTTTTCTTTGGTAAATTGTTTGAAGAATTTAGTGGTAGGTTTGTTGGTCATTCTTGAAGATATTGATTTGATAATTAGTATATAGTTTTATCATGACAAGTTACAGATCAAGTAGGAATTTTGTTCCAGTCTGATGATTTTGTGCAGAGTTATGGTCTTTGGACATAAAAAATTCACTTAAATAATCACTTTATAACAGTTTTTTTCGTCATGCTTGAGGATTTTGACTTGATATTTTTATGTAGTTTACACCATGACATTTTAAAGATCAAATTAGAATTTTGTTCCATTACAATGAATTTCTAACCATGAAATACTCTCAGAATGTTTGTTCATTTATTGTTTCGTCATAAATCCGATCGTTGCTTTTTCATTTGAGTTGTTTCATACCTCTACTGGTGCATCGTTAGTTTCCGAGGGTATCATCAGCCCAGTACTTCGGTATTGACATTAAAATACGGATATGGTGTAATTGAAATATGCTGTTACAAAATTTTGGAAATTATTTTAGATTAAGGAATATATCTCCCTCAAGCAAAGGTATGATTCCTTTCACGGTATCGGCTATACTTTTTTCTGCATTTTGGATTTATCAGCTCGTCAATGTTTAAATAAGTTTTTTGGATTTTCAAATATTTGGCCTCGCGCTTCATTGGTGCTTCATCTGGTGCAATACAATTGGTAGTGTTAATCTTATTAGTGTTATTGTTATTGCTACCACTTGGTCGATACCTTGGTTGGTGGACTGCGATGCCCAGAGGTTAGCACTAACTCAGTTGTTATTGAAATTTGCTGTACACAATTTTGGAAATTATTTTAAATTAAAGAACATATCTCCCTTATATGAATCCTTCAAAGACTTTTAAAAAAACAAGAAGATCAAAGAAGCTAGATCATTTAATATCACATACAAGTATATTGGAGATGTTCTTTCCATTAACAATCCAAACTTTTCTGATTCGGTCCCATTAATATATCCTCCTGAACTACAGATTAAAGAAATCATAGATACAGCTTTCATTTCTTGCAGCGGCTACTCAGATATTGTATCATTAGTATCATTAGTGATTGAGCAAAAAAAATAACGAGAAAGGGTTTTGTCAAAGAACGACTCAAAAAAGTTCATCGGAAAGTACCAAGACCTAATAGATAAATATTCAGTGTCAACTTAACTAATAATACAAGATGGTCTCGAGTTTAAGATTCTAGGCGCTGAAGTTGTGTATCTTTTTATTTACTTTACAGCTTTCCCTTTTATTTTTGGCTTTGGACGTTCCTGCTACAGGTGGGTCCAGAGGTGCGATTCGGGTGCAAGAGGTTACTACAGTGGTGGCTTCATTTTGTTTACCCTTGTATTGATATTCTATTTGATGACAAACGGGAATATACATGGTTCTTAACCATTTACAAGATAATAGGTCATTCTCAAATGGCAGGGGGGTGGGGTGCCCTTCATTTTATTTGTTTTATCATGTAGAACATTTTTAGTTTTTTAGATTCTCCAATTGTATAAATACTTTTGTGTGAATTGAAAAATTATGTTTATCGTCTAAATGACTATTAAACCTTATAGTCATACATATGATCCTGTGATCATTACTGAATACCCATGTAACTATCACTAACGGTTCTCAAGTTATAATCATTTGAAAATAAGATTTAATGAAATCCAATCGGGTTCTATAGCTAACCCTTCCCTTCTTTTTGACCCTCAAAGAACCCCTTGATAGAACCCAATGCACAAAAAACCAGGATTGCACCACTAGACATATAAGTCTAACATATTGTGGAATCCGAAGTAAATCTGACATGGGGTTTTGGAGAAATGCTGCGGACAAGTTCAAGTTTGATAAAGCGGCGGAAGAGGGAAGAGGAAGAATAACTGAGCAAAACCAACGGATATCCACTGTTGCCTCTAATTTACATAAAAAACTTAAAGCTATAACCAGACCCTTATCTTATACGAAACTTCTGAATCCACTCATAAATGACGAGTGACATAGAAATAGAAAATTCAATTTTCAAAACCACACCTTAAAAACCAAATACTCTATATGCAGATAATGATGGAATGTTGTTACATAAAAAAAAAGGAAATTTCACCATTGGAATATTGAATTCAGCTCTTGTGTCGTACGTTTCGCTTCAACCGACCATAACTTGTGATTTACTGGTTATAGATTAAGACATGAAAGGATCAAGGAGTATTATGTTAGCTCTTCGATGTCGTATTTGATTTGGCCTTCCAACTGATCAGATGCGAACGCCACTGATGAGTTTTACGTAGACGTACAAAATTAAGAGCCTGGTATATCTGATGAGTTTTTATTTCAAGTTAAAACTTGAAAGATCCAAACTTCATATCCACAGAAATTATAATCATTTAATGAAAGAATATCAAAAGATACCAAAGGGACACTCAAACTCATAAGTCGAAAATAAACTGACAACGCCAAGTACACAATCTTTGTACCATTAAAAATATTTTTATTACCACAATATAGTTAGTTTACAGTGTTAGCTAAGTACCCATTAAAGGAGTAGGTTCGTTAAGGTCCTAAAATGGCTCCTATTTCAGGCTTAGATTTAAAATTAGGATAAATTTACCAATACCAAAATGAATAATAGCTAATACAATGACAATATCGAAAATATAATTGTATTTTGAAAATTTACGTACTTGCGCTCTGTTCATGACGTCACAAATTGCACTCATTTTGATTTTCCACGAAAATTCAATGAAAATGGATAAATTTCCATTGATTTCTTGGATGGGAAACATAGAACGAAGGCATCGACAAAAAAGATCTTTTAACGTAATCTTTGTTATGGCATTTGACATATCTGACACACATATTTAGTTTATCGACGCCTGCGCTCTATGTTTCCTAGGCATTAATTTGGTTGAAATCAGTACGATTTTGTCAAATTTTGCAAAAATCTCGGTTTTTTTACCATTTGGGATGCAAAAATCAACGCTTCAGAATCAAACTTTGACAAAAATACTTCTATTTAACTTCCGCACATGTCTTTTCATCAACTTAAAACATTTTTTATCCTGAAACATAAACGTATTTACACTTTTGGTATTTAGCTATATTTTGTTAAATATATTAAGTTAAATGCCTCTATTTCAAGAAGAATAAACTCACGAAAACACGAAAAATTCACTAAATTCGCGTTCATTGTTTTGATTTTGACCGCCTGACAACTTTACGGAAATATCAGAGTGATTATTAACAAGGACTCTGTGACGGGCAACTTATAATATCCGTGTTTTAAAGATTTTAATGATATCAAGCCAGTCCAGTTCAAACCATTATCACGTGGTACAATTCTCATTTACATATTATGAATATTAATTAGCAAAAGTACTACTAATTTCTGGCTATGAATCACCTTTTGACGTCTGGCAACAATCACTTTTTAATTGTGACGTCAAATGTTTTGAATTATGATGTCAAAGTTTACGGGAACCTATGTGATTTTACGTAATGGCGGACAAATTTGCATACAAGTGTAAATACGTCTATTGAACTCAATAATCGGGCCAAATATGGCCCTTACCGAACCTACTCCTTTGATTATTTCATATCTTGTAGATTTGGAAAATTATTACACCCCATGTGATTCGAAATGTTTTTATATAATAAACAGATATCGTCCTTTCACTGAATAATTTTTAAAAAATACACCCTATTAATTTCCTGTCCATCCCCTTTAGCTTGAAGTAAAGGATATCACAAATACAATTGGGTCATGTTGTCTTGGGATTCCAAATTATTTATAAGAGGCAACAGTACTGTAGTGCAATTATCACAAAACCATTAAGAAAGTAAGTAGAAAATAAAATCCGAGGAAATAGCAAAAAGAACGAGACAAGATGCGATGACATGGTTTAAACCTAGTATCTTTAATGAATTTATCTAAAAATCACAAATTAAAGTCGGCTGTGCGACGAAAGTGACGAATTAATTATTTCCATGGGGATATTTCCTTTTTTATGTAACAATGTTCAACCGACGCTTGCGTAATGAGTATGTATTTTTTTTTTAACGAATAAATAATTTCATTTCTGTTATTAGCAATTTTCATATGTTTTACTCTAAAAATATTTAAAGTAATTTTATGTCTATGTTAATTGTTTTAACTATTGGGTTAGAATTTTTTTCTCTTGGATATTTTCTGTCTTATATTATTCTATTTATTAAGCAACATAATTTTCATGGAAAAAATATGGCACCTATAAATTTGTTTAGCATGTAATTCAGGGAAGATCAATTTGGCAAAACTAAACTTTTCTATGATGGAAGTATTTGTTTATCCAATCCATGATTTTAATGCTATTTAAAAAAAATACTTATATTATAACTCTCTTAAGCTTCTTTGTAGCTAGGTTAAGCTAGGACTATGCATACAAAAAAAACATCAAAATTTTTTCAATCAGTTTTTATGAAGCGATTCCGTAATTGATATTTGATCAGATTAAAAATGTATTTCATTTGGTGCAATATGATCAGGGAAATGTTATTTTAGATACACATCATGATGCCAAACTATGGCTTTAATTCCTATGGTTGTTTCTCTAGTTACCTACCTTCTCTATACATTCCTGCAGTGTTGTCTCTCCAGTCCTCATCGTTCTGTATTTTCTCTCTCTTCATGTTTTCTATTTGACATTTTATTCCTATTTCACCAATTAATTGATCATCACACTTTATACACAGAAAATCTGACAATCTCTTTATTTCCTTTGTGTTATTCTATAAAAAAAAATATGTTGGAAATATCTTTTAAATCGAATAAGGTTTATCACTTAAAAGATAAACCAATTTAATGAAAGAGATTTGATTAATATATTTATTTTCCATAAAGACATATTTCATCATTCGGATCCGCATCTCGCTTCCGGCTTAGAAACATCACGTGACTTCAGCCTCACATTTGAACTAGCCGCTTCTAGATAAGTGAAAGTTTCAAAAGACAATCGTCAAAAAATCTTCGACATCCGCAACTTATAGATTTCTAATCAGATATGAAACCACCGAAAAGGCCTCGTAATGTTCCCAAAAAGGTTTCACAGCAGCCTGCAGGTCCAGCAAAGAAATTTAGAAAAGGCAAAGTGCCGTCAACACGAGGAGCACTTTCAGAATCACAGAACACGACAAGAACCGTACAAGTTTCTAGAACAGCGACCGGTTCTAATTTGTCAATTGCTAGTGGTCCGGCAATTAACATCGTAGCAGACGCACATCAGGAACCCCCATTCGTGCCTTTCAGGATTCAGGATGAGATGGATATAGAAAGTCCAAATTGCAACGAGGAAAACACACTGGACAGACCAAGGGGAGCTTTGTTACCACTGAATCCACAACCAGGCCCCAGCGGGGTGAAGAGTCCAGCAAACAACCTTGGTATGTTAACTGTCTCAAATCAATTTGTTTCACACGGGTCGGCAGGTTCTGGGTCTTTAGATACTCGTTTACAAGTGGACCAATCCCCTCCATACATTTCAAGTGTTTTTGATCCCATTTCATCCCATATTCCGGTCAAAATTAAAGAAAAAATATGGAACGGTGAGTTCATTGACCTGAACATTCTTCTAAAATCCACCCGGGACCTTGTAAACGAGCAAAATTTAGAGGGTGAACTGGTAGTAAAGGGGGGTGTTTTATCCTTAGTTAACCAAAAGAGAAGTCCCATAAAAAGTATTCATGTCTGGACTTCCGCATTCATGATTTATGGAAGTGTAATGCTTGAAAAATGGCCCAACAAAGGTCTGGAGTTTTTCAAATACATGCAAACAGTCAGAATGGCAGCCTCAAGGGGTTACTCTGGAGGCTGGGTTCATTACGATGAGCAATTTAGATTACGTAAAGCTTCTTCCCCCTTTTCTTCATGGGGAGTTGTCGATATGGAACTGTGGTTGCTATGTGTATCTACTCCGAACGTTAGTCCTTCTTTTAATACAGGACTTTCAAATGGTAATAACCATCAATTGCACAATGGGAATTCATCGACAAGTGGGGCGTCGAGTCAAAATTTAGGACAACGCCGGGTGTTTACATGCAGATTATTCAATAACAAGGGTATTTGTACATTTGGCAAGAATTGCAAATATACTCACAAATGCTCGAAATGTAATGGTAGTCATCCCTACTTAGAATGCAGAAATTAAGTCCGCTTTGTTTTTATTTACCTTGTTTTGTAAATATTCTTTTTCCCTAGAAATTATATTTAGATATCTTTCAGTGCAATTGAACTTGTTTCATAGAAATGGCCGAGTTATCTCTCCTTGTACTAGTACAAATGTATTTACTATATTTTCTCATGTTATTTAATTTGTGTTTGTTTTTGTTTTTAATTTGCAGGTTACACGCATTTGTATTCTCTAGGTAATTCGCCAATAAACGTCGATGAAGTAAAGAAAGCTCTCATAAATTACCCGCATCAAGAGGTTGCGCGAGACCTGATCCAAGGTCTCGAAGCTGGGTTTAAACTAAAATACTCCGGTCCGAGACTTCCTGTGGATATAGATTCTAAAGAAATGAATGGGGAGAAAGCCACCATAGCTAGGGAAAAAATCTTTAAAGAAATTAACCTGGGAAGGGTAGCTGGTCCTTTTTCAGAACCTCCGTTCCCCACCTTTCGGGTTTCTCCGATCTCGGTTATCCCTAAAAAATCTAGTTCAGAATTCAGGTTAATTCATAATTTGTCCTTTCCTATACATCACTCCGTTAATGACTTTATTGACAAGCAGTACTGTTCTGTAAAATACTCAAGCATAGACGACGCTGTCAATATGATTCACAGATTGAAAAAGAACACGCTCTTGGCCAAGTGCGACGTAAAATCGGCTTTTCGTTTGCTAAGACTCTCTCCGGGTGATTTTGATCTGATGGGGTTCAAATTTGAGAATCAATATTTCTTTGATAAATGCCTCCCAATGGGGGCCAGTATTAGCTCGGCGCTATTTGAATCTTTTTCCACCGCCTTGCATTGGGTTGTACAGCAACAGTCAAAAAACGTCAATATTTTACATTATTTGGACGATTTTCTGTTTGGAGGCGAGGCACAAACTTCACAATGCCACGACACTTTGAAGTGTTTTCAGGATTCTTGTAAACTTTGGGGGGTTCCGTTAGCAGAGGAAAAAACGGTCGAGCCAACGGAAGTGTTGATATTCCTTGGTATAGAATTTGACACCATCAACATGGTAATGCGTCTACCCGAAGACAAACTTGTTGAGTTAAAATCCAGAATTTCTTTTTGTTTAGGTAGATCCAAAATCACCCTTCGGGATTTACAATCATTGATTGGCATACTAAATTTTGCATGTCAAGTAATTGTCCCGGGTCGAGCCTTTTGTCGTCGTTTGATTGACGCCACTTGCAATTTGCGTAGGCCCCATCACAGAACCAGAATAACTAAGGCTATGAAAGAAGACCTTAATATTTGGTTACTATTTCTATCAAATTACAATGGTACTACCGTAATTCTGGATAAATTCTGGTCATCTAACTCTGATCTCGAATTGTTCACTGACAGTGCAGGTGGGGTCGGAAAAGGCTTTGGTATTTATTTTGAAGGGAAATGGGCCCAGGCGAGTTGGCCCCACAATTGGATAATTTCTGGAATTTTAACCGATATTACCTTTCTAGAATTGTTCCCTGTAGTCGTTGCTTTGAACATTTGGGGAGGCATGTTAAAAAACAAGAAAATTTTATTTCACATAGATAACCAGAGCGTAGTTTCTATAATCAATAAAAAGTCTTCAAAGTCGACAAGTGTTATGTCCCTGATCAGAAAACTTGTATTGGCCTGCTTGGAATACAACATATTGATTAAAGCCGAACATATCCCAGGTCATTTGAATTCTCTTGCTGACTCCCTCTCTCGTTGTGATTTTCAGAAGTTCCGGAAACTATGCCCCACAGCAGATGCAAACCCATACACGATTCCGGCCCACCTCTGGAAAGGTTAAAAGACGAGGCAGACCTATTACTTAAATGTTCAATGGCTCCCAACTCCTGGAAAACTTATAAAACAGCAGTAGAATGTTTAAAAAAGTTTCGCATTATTTATAACTATCGTGATATTTGGCCTGTACCTATCGACGAAATAGCTCAATTTATAGCATACCTGTCGTACAAAGGTTTCTCTGCGTCTACTGTTTCTACTTACATCTCCGGATTGGCCCACACACACAAGATTAACAATGTAACAGATAACACGAAATCATTCATCATCTGCAAAATGATTGAAGGATTGCGTAGAAAAAATCCGCAAAAACTAGATGTTCGAACGCCGATATCGTTTGACTTGTTAAAACGTTTAATTCACAGTCTACGCAGCGTTTGTAATTCTCAGTATGAAACTATATTGTTTTCTTCTGCCTTTTCTCTTGCGTACTTCGCCATGCTACGAGTAAGTGAGTTGGCTATAAACAGTCGTACTGACGAAAGCGGACATGCATTGAAATGTGAAGATATCACTTTTGTTCAGAGTAATGGTCAAACCGAATTACATGTAAAAATATGCAGCTCAAAAACCGATCAAAAGCATAATTCCATAACCCTGATCATTCAGAGCCATGCCGATTCGAATATCTGTCCAATTACGCTATTGCAATCTTATTTGCAGGTTCGCTTCTCCGGCGTAAATGGATCTAATAAATTATATACACATTTTAATGGTTTGGCCTTAACAAAATATCAATTTTGTTCCCTGCTTCAAAAATGTTTGGGTTTCTGTGAACTACCGTTTCACATCCGTTCTCATTCTTTTCGGATAGGACGAGCTACTGATATGGCAAAAAATGGTGTTAAAGACGATATTATCAAGCAGTGCGGCCGATGGTCCTCCGTTGCATATTTACGCTATATTCGTATCTGAGTCTTTAACTTTCATTACAGCTCAAACAAGTGTTTTAAATATTATAATTCATATTGCCTCCTTTTAGGTTCAAAAGCTATTTGGTTCGTCGGATCTTCAATTGTATATTGGGCACAGACTAATGCAAAAACGAGAAACGGGGGCCCAAACATTGGTCTTCAAAGCAGAGGGGTGTACATACGCTGGTTTGGAAAAAGGGGTATGTTGTGGAATGAATTTAATGCCAAGGTATCACATGCAGTTGACAAATTTTCTCCTCCCGCCATGATAGTCATTCAGCTTGGTTCCAATGATCTGGTAAAAGTAAAAACCTTGGAACTTATCCAAAATATTGAAAGGGATATTCTGAGTCTGCATTTACTTCTACCTAACACTCGCATCGTATGGAGCGAAATGCTAATGCGTAGGTATTGGCACGGTGCTAAAGACGGAAAAGCTATCGAGAGATCTCGCAAACGAGTAAACTCTTCTATTAACCATTATGTCTTGAATGATGGGCATTGTATTATTCAGCATCCCAATATTCGAGCTCGAGAGATGAACTTGTATAGATTTGACGGAACTCACTTATCCGATATTGGATATGATATATACTTGAACAACATACAGGGGGGTATTGAAACTTTCCTATCATCTCACAAAATTCGCCGTTTCCCCGAAGTCTAATTTGGAAAAGAATTTCTAATAATTTTTCAAGGGGTTGAAAAAAAGGGGGGGGGGAGTATTTAATGAGTGTGTATAGACTCACTCACGTGGCAAGATTAAGGGGTCATGATCCGTTCCTGTATTGTACGTCGGATCATATTAGTTTTTTACTTTCCTGCGTTACCGCAGGAAGTTCTGTTGAGACCATCTCATGTCTACCCTGAGTGGCCGGTTCTGAATTGGTACCAGTTCGAGCTTAACTGTTTTATGATCTAAAAATTGTTAAATTGTTAATCTTTACTCCCCTGAAACCAGGGGGTGATGCGAATAAGACCCGACGTATTTGGGGATCATGGCCCTCGTTCTCTTTAGGATTTAACCTGGAGGAACTTGAGCATCCATTGCTACCAATGGTGCACAGATTTGTCAGTTAAATCAATCATGTCGGCATTCTGTTATCATGTCAGACCTCGTCATTCAAAGTGAACTGTGGCCGTTAATTCCACATAAATTGTTTGTTTGTTATGCTTTGCCTTAGAATTGATTCTTTAATTAATAAGGTTTATCACTTAAAAGATAAACCAATTTAATGAAAGAGATTTGATTAATATATTTATTTTCCATAAAGACATATTTCATCATTCGGATCCGCATCTCGCTTCCGGCTTAGAAACATCACGTGACTTCAGCCTCACATTTGAACTAGCCGCTTCTAGATAAGTGAAAGTTTCAAAAACCCACCCACCTCCCCTCACAATCTACCAACAATTACTTGTGTCTGCTGCTGTTCTATTCATTTTTCAGGCTGTTCAGAGAAAAGCCTGATACATAATACGTTGGGAAAAAATAAAGATGACTAGACTAAGCCGATGGAATTGCTTGCTGAACAAACTTTTGAGAACTATCGTATTCCAAATTTGAGTGAGTGTTATACAGTTTTACCAGGACAATCAGCCACCAGCAATGCGATTGGAACAATCAGTATGATTATTTAGTTTATCCACCAGGAACACATATAGAACTTTAAATTTTTGTTATGAACTTTCAGCGTTTATATCTCAAATAATAGTATAATTGTTCATTATATGGTAATAAAATGTTTAGTCACAGTAAAAAGTTGTTTGGCGGGATCTGGCAAGATTAAGGGGTCATGATCCGTTCCTGTATTGTACGTCGGATCATATTAGTTTTTTACTTTCCTGCGTTACCGCAGGAAGTTCTGTTGAGACCATCTCATGTCTACCCTGAGTGGCCGGTTCTGAATTGGTACCAGTTCGAGCTTAACTGTTTTATGATCTAAAAATTGTTAAATTGTTAATCTTTACTCCCCTGAAACCAGGGGGTGATGCGAATAAGACCCGACGTATTTGGGGATCATGGCCCTCGTTCTCTTTAGGATTTAACCTGGAGGAACTTGAGCATCCATTGCTACCAATGGTGCACAGATTTGTCAGTTAAATCAATCATGTCGGCATTCTGTTATCATGTCAGACCTCGTCATTCAAAGTGAACTGTGGCCGTTAATTCCACATAAATTGTTTGTTTGTTATGCTTTGCCTTAGAATTGATTCTTTAATTAATTATACATTTATATTGATGTTGAGATCGACAATGTAGAAATTATGCCGTATAGAAGATTTGAATTACTATGTAGTTTTAGATTATGGCCTATTACAAGGCTGCCTCGTATAGTCAACTGCAATCTATACCAGAGAGAACGAAAAGGACGGTATAATCGCGAATTCAATCATTGCAATGAGTTAACCGGGCTATTCTGCCACGATACTTTGTAACTTAAAGATTTATACCAAAGGTTGTTAACTGAAAAACGTTCAATATCTATACAACAAGTTTGTAGATCAGTTTTGTTTTTTAGGGAATGTTCAAATCGTCATTTCACATTGCGTTAATTTAATTGTCAATGACAGTAAGGCATTAAATAACTCTGTGCATCTTAAAATGAGTCACAAATACTATTTCTAACAAATTTTAAAGGGGAAGTAAGTTTCCATAGAGTGTAAAATGCATTTATGTTGTTCTAGAAACATGTTAATATTCAAACCAATAAGGGAAAAGTAAAAACAGTTACATGTGAACGATGAAAACTTTTTAATATCAAGCTCAAACCACTTCCCATGTTGAAAATTCCTTTATAGCTATAAGACTCTTTTTCACCATAGCAGACAGGGTTATTGTATTGACATGTTAATATATCATTGATATGGTCTTATATATAAATACATTGTTAACAAAAGTATGATTTCTTCGAAATACTAAGGATTTTCTATCCCAAAAATGGATTACCTTAACTGTTCTTGGCAAAACCTTTCGTAATTTTGCGTCCTCAGTGCTCTTAAACTTTGTACTTTATTTGGCCTTTATACTTGGTCGCTGATGAGTCTTTTCTACCGTACAAAAGAATAAGCCTGTCGTCTTTAATGAGTTTTTTTTTTCGTGTTGCTCAAATGTTCAACTATATTATTTATAATCTATATTAGTTATAAAAAATCATCGGTTTGAACTAAAACAGAATTTGGATCGAAACTAATATGATTTTATTTACATGTTTGAGGTTTAATAGCCAATAAAACGGAGTTGCCTCTTTCCTTTGGTGTCATTTAAAACATAAAACAAAGCAATACCGTGTGCATATCTTCATAATGTATGACATGTATAGGATAGTCTTTGTTTTCCTCCAAAACCTTGCACCAATCACGTACATAATCAAACCAAGACTTATAATCAACTGTAAAGTAAGACGAAATACACGTGTTCAAATAAACAAAGGTAAGAAACATTTAAATTATAAGACGAAACACTAAACAAATAAAAAAAACACCACGTCCCAAGTTAGGACAGAGTCATGCGTTTTTTTTTATATCTGTACGTATAAACGTATAAAATACAATTGTAAAATTATGTTTTACTTTACAAAAAAAATATCTTTTTTTCAAAATGTGTTCTATTCATCCTGTCCAACCAGTACTTAGTCTTCTTGATCTGGCCGGTATGATGGGAGAACCGGTATTCAGAGGGACCGGTTTAGAGAGTTTCACTGTATAAGCAACTTAATTGATTAACTTTGTTGTCTTAAATATGCATGCAGAATTTGACAGTGGATGTTAAGCTAACATCAATTAATCTATGATTCTATCAAATATATTGTACCTCTAATGACTATTTTCCGGACCATATGCGTATATACTCATATGGTCCGGGTAATTAATACGACGAGCGTTGGACAGTCATTGCGTAAGGCAAAACTCTTCAAGGTGTCATAGATTAAGAGTTTCGAAAAAAAAATGAAATTTTGACTTAGATAATAATTTGGTAGTCATTGTAACGTGATAACTGAAATAAAATGAATTTTACTCACAAGTTAAAATTATATTAGAAGCATTATGCATGGTCATTATTAATCTGTCTTTACGAAACACTTGAAGTCAACTGTATTACACATTAGCAATTGTAGCATTGAACCCCCTATTTTCCTTATTTTGGTGTTTCAATTTGTAAATTAAGATTTCTTAAACATTTCAAATTATTTTCAGTTATTCAATTTGTCCATGCTCCTCTTTATACGATTTACAATTACAGTGGTTTATACGTACTGCCCCTCTATTCTTATTTAGAAACCACTGTTATTGTAGGATCATATGAATAAGAGTATGAACACATCAGTTAAGTGAAAATAAGTGGAAATTAGAAGAAATTAAAGAAAATCTAATCTACACGACGGGGAAAAGAAAAAAAATGTCCCAAACACCTGTGGTTTTACGTACGGACGAAACTGTCGACAGTATAAAGGTTCTGAAAATTGACTCTAGATAGCGAGGGCAAGACGATTCAGACAATATGTAACAAAGATAAAGGATTTCAGTTAATAACTTGTGCCGATTTTGGTTTAGAGAACGAGCTGTGTCTGTTAAAGAAGTTTGATTTTATTCGAAAAATACCTATATGGTCTAAATATGGTCCGGCCCGTTAATAACCAAACGAGTATATACTGATATGGTCATGACTATCAAATAATCATATGTTCCGGAACAACTATATATGAGTCACACTAAAAGTTTGCCCATTGGTTTACTTTAATAATTAGCAGTAGGTTAATTTGTTACAGATACATTACGGTAGAAGGCTAGAATAGACTTACTGTAGAAAAAACAAGAACTAGAATATAAAACAACGAAAAACTTAATAAAGGTGCAACAGCCAAATTAACAAGGTAAAAAACAAAAATTCAAATATCCATGCGGTAAAAGACAAAAAAAAAAAAAAAAGGAAAGAAAGCGAAACAATTGAGACCGAGTGTTTATTATCAAAGCCGTAAAAATATTTAGCAACTGCAATGACTGTTAACAAAATGACAGTTGAAGAATAAAAATGAAGGCCATATTACAGGAAGTCGAAGCATCGCTATTTATATATAGTTTGTGTTTTTAAGTTTTTGCGTTTTTATCTTTTGAATTTGATGGGGGTAGCTTTTAAAATAAGTTTTTAATATTTTCAATTTTATAATCATAACAGCTTCGCAACATTTATGTCGTAAAACACATGGTATGTTATGTAAATTGCGTGTTTATTTTCAATAATATAAACGAAATAGGTTATTTTTATCTTATTATTTCCGATGCTTCATCACACAATAAAACCAAACAAATTATTTCGAGAGGAATGTGATAAGAATATTCTGTAAAACTAAGAAAGATCAAAATAATATCGTACTTTCTCCTTTCAAATATCTTTCGAGGTAAGAGTTCCAAGATCCAGTATATTCATACATCAGTATGTTTCTATGGTGATGATAAAATGACACAGCTACGTCTTTTGGATTTCGTACTGTATAAATAATTTTACATTTACGTCTAACAAAATCTTTAGGTAGCATCGAGAGGTAAAGATGAGAGTTAAGTATCCTAGGCGAGGTTAGACCGTCAAACTTTTCCTTGGGGATACATTCTATCATCCAATCGTCTTTAGTGACTTTAACAAACTCTGCTTTTTGTCTGTATAACATCTGTACTATTTCCCAGATCCAATGTGTTCCTTGAGGGTAGACATAGACAGCAATTTAGAATGATATAATTCAAAATCATTTTATACGCTATTATTGGACAACCGTATGAAACTACAATCTTGTTTTCAGAAAATTATGTCATGCAAGGTTTGTCATGTTAAAATAATTCTGATAAATGATCTGTCGAAGGTTTTCCTTAAATTCTGCCTTTAAAGTGAAGGGAGGGTGTTTTATTTCCTAACACGGCCCCCCGTTTGTCCGCAACAACACTTTCAGTTACCTAAACTGCATTTCCCTTAGCTTAAAAACGGAAATCCCCATTCCTTAGCTTGTGAACATGTTGGGTTGAACACCGGTAAATTGACGTATAACTGAGAAATTAATTTACTAGGCGATAATCTGCTAAGTAACTACTAATTAAAACGTTTCCACATCTAGATACTTAAAAATAATCAAATATTAATAGTTTAATACAATGATTATGATGTGTTTTTATTTGAATCCTTATGCTATTCAAAATGTTCGAATCGAGTGAATTCGTTCCATTTATTCAAATTTCAAATCTTTTATTTCAACAGCATGCTAACAGTTCCTTCTAAGGTAGTAATTCTTTAACTCTTACCTGATTTCGGGTAGTTACAGATTATAATGTCGTCATCTCTGGCCTGCCAGTAATCAACCCTTTTCCGAAAGTCACTTTCTTGGCTTTCATAACCGAAATTAGGCAAATAATATCCATCAACCTCCAACACCTTAAAATGGTTCCCATCGGAATCTGTTAGATCCGTTAGAGGCATTTTAAGTCAAATATTCTCTTTTATTTACCAATAATGCAAACTGATTCTAAATGAAATAAACGTAATCTCTTATCGATCGTTTTTAGACTGAATGGTGAAGGTTGATAAATCATTGAACGGACCAATTAAATTATTTGTTTTATCATGAGCTTGATCGATTGAATTTGTATAAGCCATCAATATTGTTTTAATGGAAGGAAAGGATTATGCTGCTTTTAGATATTTTACAAAATTATTTTCAGAATAGACTCAGCTAGTACTCAGACTTGTGTAAAACTTGTCAGATAGATTTTAACTACTAAAATTGTCACTCATCTTTGCACATGAGAGTTTGATTCTTAGTTCCTAAATAATTTCTGAAAGTAATAAATCATGTCAGTACCCAAGCACTTACTACTGAGTCGAAGATATCCGCGGGGAATAAAACACCACCAGAAGCGATATCGACCCAGTGCTAGATAACGAAAATACCACATTATAAAAATTGTGCGTCGGAAGCTAATTTTGTGTTTATCTTAACCCAAAAACTATGAAAACCAAGGATGTATAAGTACTTGAATACGTGAAGCGGTATATGGTTGATGGCATAATTTAAATACTACACTGTGTCCGTCAATTTCCCATTCATAAATGATGTAATAAATAAGCTTTATTTGGAGTCGGCATAGTATACAAATAAGGACATAACATAAGCTCTAATGAGCTTTTAACCGACAAGTAATTAAACTAAGGCTAAGATTGCTGCAACTCAAACATGCATATTGTTTTCTTTAATTGTTTAACATTTCTTACCGATATAACATGTTACTTTTATTATTCTTCCCTTAGTTTATTTATTTTGTATTCAAAATTATTTATTTTGTACAAAATATTTCCTTTCTCTATTGGTACTGTACATGTATACCTAACAACAAAATTATTTTCATTTACCTGTGTTTAAAGTTATTGCAAATGGATGGTATTTTTGTTCGAGCATATTGTTTTTCTTCAATTGTTTAACATTTCTTACCGATATTACATGTTACTTTTATTATTCTTCCCTTAGTTTATTTATTTTGTATTTACATTGTGTCATAGGTCAAATTTATTTGTTCAGTGTATGTTCAATGGTGTAATATGTCCTTTGATTGAGTTAAGCTATTTCAGTTGATATTTTATAGTGTGTCTTTCTATGTTGTGATGTTACACTATTGTTTCAGAAAAAGGGTGAAGGTTTGGTACCATTAAAACGTTTAAACCCGCTGCATTTGTTTGCACCTGTCCTAAGTCAGGAATCTGATGTTCAGTAGTTGTCGTTTGTTGATGTGGTTCATAAGTGTTTCTCGTTTCTCGTTTTTTATATAGATTAGACCGTTGGTTTTCCCGTTTGAATGGTTTTACACTAGTAATTTTTTTGGGGCCCTTTATAGCTTACTGTTCGGTGTGAGCCAAGGCTCCGTGTTGAAGACCGTACTGTGACCTATAATGGTTTACTTTTATAAATTTTGACTTGGATGGAGAGTTGTCTCATTGGCACTCATACCACATCTTCTTATATCTAAAACACTGTAATAATATTGTTGCGTATTGTTTTTATCGGTGGTATTTATTTTGTTATTAATAAATTAAAACATAACTAAATAAGTATTGCTATACGGTAATTAACTCTTATGGTCCTATATCTTATTGATATATATATATATATACTATATTGGCATTGCAGAAGGTCATTTGGTCACTGGGTGACAGTTGTTTCATTGGCAATCACACTCCATTTCTTATTTTTATTAAGTTGACCTTTAACAGTTTTGATATTCCTGTTTTTGACTTGTTGGAATTGATGCTCTCATATGATTTTTAGTTTTTGCTTTCCAAACTATTGTCTCTAGTGTACTTTATAATATTATTCCAAAAACACGTGTTGTTTTCCAGGTAATCGATACCATAAGTTTTCTTTGATTAAAAGGCTGCAAATAATTTTCAGAATTATGGAATAGCTAAACAAGTAAAAGAGAGGCGAAAGATACCAAAGGGACATTCAAAAATATATAGAAATATAAAGACTGAGCAACACGAACCCCGCCAAAAACTGGGGGATCTCAAGTCCGCCGGAGGGGTAAGCAGATAACGCTCCATATGTGGCACCCGTCGTGTTGCTCATGTTAGTACAAACCCGGTAATAAGTCTAACCAACTAAAAAAACCGGCACACCCAACTGATATTACCCAATATTATACATGAGAAAGCATTTGTGCTCAACATTCATTTCTGCTTGGAGGGACAAATTAAGCATGTACTATGGTTACTATTTTTTTTTCATCTGAATAAATTCATTGTGGGATACTAGTTATCATCAAAACAAACATGACTAAGCAAAAAGTAGAATAACAAAAATGACGAACTCCAAGCGAAATTCAAAACGGAAAGTCCTTTATAAAATGGCAAAATCAAAAGCTCAAACACATTTAACGAATGGAAAACAACTGTCATATTCCTGACTTGGTACAGGCAAGAACTTGAGCTCCGGGGAGAATGAAATGTCAGGTATCTAGAAACCAAAATTGTTACCAATACTTTCTCCAGAGTTCCAATATACATAACAACCCTTTTTGGACATTCACTTTTAAAACAAATGGGCAAGGTTTCACCTGATCCTGGTTTCCCGCCAGGTCTAGAAGCACATGACCAGAAAAAATATTCAAGAACAAAATAGACATATTTAAGAGATTTCATATAGAAACCAAATTATTAAAGAATTTCATACTATGTACAGCTATTCTTAGCAACTATGACCTTGAGTTTTGACCAACTGACCTTAAATCGACAAGCTTCCTACTCTTTGAACAATTAACCAGTTGAATATGTTTTTCAGAAATCCAACAATTGTTTCTCAAAACAGTTCCTAGAAACAACAAATTGCAATTAATTATTGTTTATTTTCAGTCTATTATTGTCAGGTATAATGGCCTTTGCCATTTATTCAAGTTTAATTATAAACATAAAAAGGAAACTAAAGCCAACTTTAAATAAATATTTTAAGTACAAATGAATTATCAACCCAATAATCGAAATACGTCTTTCCCCTTTCTGTATCTTCTAACTTTACAAGTTTCATTTCAATTAATTAAGAAAAACTCAAGTGACAATCTAGAAACCACTCTCCCGAAAAAGACTTTTTACTAACAGCGACCTTGAACTAGGACCTATTTACTCCAAAATCAATAGCCATCTGCCTTCCCCTTTTCTATAATTTCCATGTGTATAAATGAAGGAAACTTTATAAATGTCGTGCGTCCGAAGCGCTTTTGTAGATTTACCTTTCACAAGGAACGCTAAAACTCAAAACATTTGAAAGCCAGGGATGTATAAATACGTAGAAACGTTTGGAGCTATATGTCCAAAAAAGTTACCGAAAATGAATAGCCAATTCACCTAAGGTCAACTTTGTCTAAAGGAGTTGGAATCTTAGTTTCTTAGTAATTTATTATTCTAAATCATTCTAAAACGGGAAAACCAACGGTCTAATCTATATAATAAATGAGAAACGATAAACACTTATGAACCACATCAACAAACGACAACTACTGAACATCAGATTCCTGACTTAGGACAGGTGCAAACAATTGCAGCGGGTTTAAACGTTCTAATGGTACCAAACCTTCACCCTTTTTCTGAAACAATAGTGTAACATCACAACATAGAAAGACACACTATAAAATATCATTTGAAATGGCTTAACTCAATCAAAAGACATAATAACACCAGTGAATATACACTGAACAAATAAATTTGATATATGATACAATGTAAATACAAAATAAATAAACTAAGGGAAGAATAATAAAAGTAACATGTTATACCGCTGTGAAATGTTAAATAATTTAAGAAAATCAATATGCTTGAACAAAAATATCAGCCATTTGCAATTACTTTAAACACAGGTAAATGAAAATAATTTTGTTGTTAGGTATACGTGTACAGTTCAAATAGAGAAAGGAAATGTTTTTTTACACAATAAATAATTTTGATGTTCATAGTAAGAAGAAGTGAAAATTTATAGTAATACCAAACACTTATCAAAGCTGGTATATAGACCAGATATAACCCTGAATAACATTGAATAACAAAAAAGCATTACAATTAGTATCAACAGGTCAAATAAACAAGAAAGTACGATTTGAGAGTACTGGCAGTTACTGAAAGCTAGTTAAAAGCCAAAAACAATTAATAATAAAAAATCATGCATCAGAGACTAAAATCAACTAAAACGCATCCCAGGGATTTAGTATTTTAACGTCATGGACAGTCAAAGAAGACATGACTTGTGCAATGCCAAAAATAAATGTATCGACAGGCAGTAGGATAGTTAGGAGTTAACCTCTTTATAGATCAAAATGAACGTGGGTGTGTCTTTATACATCCCGTTTGAAAAGAATACAAATTTAGTTATGTTTTAATTTGCTGATGACAAAATCGATATTAGTACCAATGTAAACTATATTCAAAGATCTAATTACAACATTGGTAAGATAACCTTTACTAATAAGTTTGTTTAAAGGTTCGATGAGTTTACACGGATCATATAGTGATTTCCGCGCTTTAAGTACAATATTACCGTAAAATTTAGGATGTGAAATACCGTTTTTAATCAGTTTTCTACAGGTACAGCCAAATTTACTACTCAAATCTTTGTATCTATGAAAGAATTTAGTAAAAGTTTTACGTAATTTATGGTAACGAAATCCCTGACTTAATAATTTACCAATGACGCATTGATTACGTTCGTTAAAATCTATGACATCACTACACACACGGGCATAACGAACGAGTTGGGATATATAAACACCGTATGATGGAACCAAAGGAACATCGCCGTCCAAAAAAGGAAAATTAACAATAGGGAATGAAAAGTAGTCTCTTTTGTCGTAAATTTTAGTATGGAGTTTCCCTTTAGAGATTGAAATGTCCAAATCTAGAAAAGGACAACTACTGCTGTTTATGTTAGATTTAGTTAAAGTAAGTTCTTTTGAGTAAATTTCGGTAGTATATTTAGAGAACTCTGGATTATTTAACGAAAAAATATCATCTAGATAACGGAAGGTATTGTTGATATGTACTGACAGTAATGCAACTTCATAGTAAATATCAATGATCTATCACAAGTAGTTCCTTTCAAACTAACTTAAGCAGAAAACTTAATATTGAAAATTGCTTATTAATTCAAAGTCACTGGACCATGACTTAGGGGGCAGGGCCTCGAAATATTCGTCGAACTGATATGTACTGATTATCAAGTTGAATTTGCGTATTTTGTATGATAGAAACAAATGTTTTCTTTGTTTCACCAGCAAACCGGAAAAGGACGTGATAAGTTTCGTGATAAGTTCTAGTCAAACTTATCAACGTCGGTTCATATATTATGACGTCGGTGATATGTCCGGGTCAAAGTTATTAAGGTGAGCAGAGTGATACAGACAGTGGGACGACCGATAAGTACTGATAGTAATGCAACTTCATAGTAAATATCAATGATCTATCACAAGTAATTCCTATCAAACTAACTTAAGCAGAAAACTTAACATTGAAAATTGCTTATTAATTCAAAGTCACTGGACCATGACTTAGGGGGCAGGGCCTCGAAATATTCGTCAAACTGATATGTACTGATTATCAGGTTGTCTGCTTATTGATATCGTAAAATATCAGCTGCGAGTCACAATATGAAGTTTTTTGTCGAGTGAGTGCAGCGAACGAGATCAAAAGTGCTTCATATTGTGTCGAGCAGCTAATATTTTACAATATAAATATGCAGGCATCCCGATAATCGATTTATCGGGTTGAATTTGCGTATTTTGCATGATAGAAACAAATGTTTTCTTTGTTTCACCAGCAAACCGGAAGATGACGTGATAAGTTTCGTGATAAGTTCTGGTCAAACTTATCAACGTCGGTTCATATATTATGACGTCGGTGATATGTCCGGGTCAAAGGTATTTAAAAGGTGAGCAGAGTGATACAGACAGTGGGACGACCGATAAGTACTGATAGTAATGCAACTTCATAGTAAATATCAATGATCTATCACAAGTAGTTCCTATCAAACTATCTTAAGCAGAAAACTTAATATTGAAAATTGCTTATTAATTCAAAGTCACTGGACCATGACTTAGGGGGCAGGGCCTCGAAATATTCGTCAAACTGATATGTACTGATTATCAGGTTGTCTGCATATTGATATCGTAAAATATCAGCTGCGAGTCACAATATGAAGCTTTTTGTACTGATAGTAATGCAACTTCATAGTAAATATCAATGATATATCACAAGTAGTTCCTATCAAACTAACTTAAGTAGAAAACTTAACAATTGTTGACTCCGGATCCGGAGCCGTCGCCGCCGTCGTCGTTGTCATCGTCGCCGGAAAAGCAACCCCTATGTGTCGCTTTCCGAAACTTTCGTCGGAGGCTAGACAAAAACCAATAAAATATTAGAAAGTATAAACTCCATACATACATGAATCAGGTACTCAGAAAGCGTAGGCGTACTTTATACGAGATCATACGACAAGTGTAGGTTGAAAAGTTGAATATTCAGGAAGTTTAGTATAAATCTGACAGACTTGTTTTAAAAGAGTTATATATATACATACATCAGTTTTTTATCCTTTTATTTTGAGGCGCTGTATACCTTATTTGGCGGTTTTTCTGATATTGATGAAATTTTGAATGTATTCTTCATCTAAATATCGAAAAATGATGTATGTGTCTATTCCAGACATAAAATCAATTAAAATTACTGTGTTCAACAATGCAATTTTATAGAGCTCCATATTTCCATAATATAAAACTGACAGATTATAATATATAACATTTTAACAAATATAAGAAAAAAAAACTGGTTATAATTGGACATAGTGTGTACTGACAAATATTTGATGTCACAAAATATTTTTTCATTAGCACCATATATATTCAAATATTGGATCCCTCATCCTATAAAAACGTTGAATGTTAAATTCTGGATTTCTTTTAAAAAAACTTTCTACATTCTTTTTATACAATGAATTGCATTTTGACTTTTGACTTTGACATTTTCTCTTTATAAAACTTGTCAAATAAATCGTCTTGTGCGACAGTGAACCAATTTTTCCAATCACCAACTTGTCCTGTAATGAAAGAACATATAGAATATAGTGAAATGTGAAGAAATGGTACAAGCATACACATTTCGAATTGTTGGTTTTCTCGTTTGAATTGTTTTGCATTTGTCATGTCGAGGCTTTTTGTAGCTCGTTGTTGAAGGCCGTGCGTTTCCCTGTGGTTGCTGACTTTTGTGTCGTTTGGTCTGTTGTGGAGAGTTGGCACTCATACCACATTTTCTTATTATAAAATAAAGAAGTACATTTTTTTGTAGTTATATTTGTTTAATGCCTAGGTCACACACATTCACGGGTCACCTCGCCGGTTCCACTACGGATTAAATCTCACGGATGATCCCGGAAATGCAGTTTCCGTAGTCCGATACGGATGCAAAACGGTGTGACTACGGGTTTTGACGTATATACCAAGGGTAATGCAAAAAAGGGGTCATTTGGCGACATGAGTGATACGGATTTTTACGGTACGACGCGGTTAAATACGGGAATGACATGGTATAATACGCATCAACACGTGTCGGGGCGTATGTACTGCGGATAAACAGCGGTTTGCTACGGTATAAGTAAGGGTTAGTACGAATGAGAACGGTCTGATACGGAATAGTACGAATCGCCACATTTTCTGAGCCGTTAATCATTTCTAATTAAGGTGGATCATCGGTATATATTTCCTCATATAGAATTTTCTTATACTTTGCCAAAATGAAGATTTTACTATGCTTTTTTTCAAAAATATAATAAAAAGTATGGGTCATCGTACTATTTTTCAAGCTACAAGTCGTGCAAAATTGTACAAATTTGCATAGATTGTTCATGAAAATACACATTTTTGTGAATAAAAAGAAATCAATGAGATAGAATTTTGAAATAAAATATGAGAAGATAGGTTTTGATATAATAAATTTTTATAGTATGCTTTAAAAAAATAAAAATAAAAAATGGTGTCACCGAACATGTTTTCATTCTACAAGTAAAAAATGAAATTTTCACTATCAGTCCAGTATAAAACTATTACTATAAGAGTTATCTCCCCTTAAATGGCTAAGTTGAAATTTTTTTTCTAAAAACACAAATATTTGGTATTTGTATAATCATTAGTGATTATCCAATAAATCACTTATTTTTCTTTATAAAAATTAACAGTCTTACACATAAATTGCAAATATGTCTCAGAATTTGCAGATTTAGGAAAAAACTAGACCGATTATGTACTGCTATTGTACAATCCAAGATGGCGGTATAAAATGAATCTACCTTAAGCTTGTGATTTATCAGTTCTTTATGGCAGTGAATCGATGATTTTTTTTTTTTCGTTTATCAAATTATTTATCGGTCTGTCTGTACCAGGTGGTGTTCTTCGTCATCCTCGGACCAAAGACATGTAGCAGTTCTTGAAACATATTTGGGTCTATTCCTACAAATTCTTAAATGCAGCTGGATTTGCCGCACAAATTCAGCCATGAGGGCCTCATACTGGCCATGGATAGGTTTTCGGAGAAACCAGTCCCTAGTCCACCATCTCCTCTGCCTCCTGTCACATTTACGTCTGTAATCAAGTAGCTCGACCACTGCCCTGGCATTTTGTGCCATATCAATATCCAGCCAATTAATTGCAAGCATCAGTTGTTGATTGTTCATATTGGATAATGTTATGTATACATCTACGGCAAGACACAGACTACTTTGGCCCTATAAGTAGGGAGTATTTGTACAGAAACCTGATGTCAGTTTGTCGTAATATTCCGTATTTTGTCGTGTTGTAACGTAGTAAACCGTAAAAGACTTTGAGAATCCTGGCTGATCCCTAGCTATCCGTATTGCAACGTAATGAAATCGTGCCGTTCCATGACAAATTCGTAACAAATCGTATTGTATCCTTAACAAATACGTGGTGTAACCGTACTAGTACGCAGTTGTCCGGAACTAGCCGTAGAAATCCTTCGGGCCTACGAATAAGTACGGATTAATACGGTTTTAATAGGGACTAAAACGGATCCGTACGTTCTTATACTGTTTAGTAAGGATATACTACGGTTGTTTGATCCGTGGTCAAATTTTGCGCAGGTTCAAAAATTGTCATGGATATACAAGTACTGCTACGTATGACTACGGCTACAGTAAGGAAATCTACGGACCAATACAGATTACCACGAATGATGCCGGGTCGTATCCGTAGCTAATCTGGCGTCAAATCCGTGAATGTGTGACCTAGGCATAAGATTAAGGGGTTGGTCGATTTATACCTTTACATTTTGTTTAAATATTTGTTCTTTGCAGAAGACCGTATGTAGATAGCTAGATGTCTTTTGTTTATGTCGTTGTGTTGCTGTCTCGTTGGCGAAAATTGGGTGTTGATGGCAGATCTTTGATTGTTTCTATTTAATTTATTCACAGCATGCATAAACTCGGGATATTTTGTATAAACATCTATCTATTGTTGAAAATTGTATTTTGCCCTCTAGATGCCGTTTGTTTATTTGTGTCGTTCGGTTGCTGTCTCATTGACGTATACCCCACATCTCATTTTAATCATATCTAAATAAGGGTTGTGTTTATATATATTGTACGATTGATGGTTACACAATAATTGATTCAAATATTAGATAATTTAACAAATGTTACACTCCACTTTTTAGCCAAAATTTTTAAGAAAGTCAATCAAAAAAGCTTAGATATATGTACTAAATATTTCTCTTTCAAATGCAGTAAAATTACTCAATAATGCTTAGTGGGACTGTTGTTGTTAATTGTTTTGCACTTCAAAGTTCCTGTCTGATGATGTGCTTGTCCAAATACGACAGAGACGTCAGGTAATTTTACCCGCAGTTGTCTGAGATTTTAAGTCATGCATGTAAAATAGACTGTTCGTTTTCTCAAAGAAGTCAAAAGTTGGGTGTATGTATCATTTATGAGGTCGGGTAACATAGTCCAAAATATTTCAATACTTCACTACCTTTGCGATACATTCCTGGCTCTTTATCTTTCCATACATTAACATCTTCATTTTTATTTTTCTCTTTTTTCATTTTCTCAAAAGAACACAAATCATCAATTTCCCGCACCAAATCATCAGTTACTTCAATTTCCAGGAATTTTGCAATTCGTTTTATTTCATTTAAACTATTCTGCAAACAAATAAGAAAAAGATATTTTAATAAGAGGCTACAGAGTCTGAATTGCTCATCTTGAAAAAAAATCAGACATATTGATATTAAAGTAAACATCGTGATACAAATTTTATTTGGAAAATATTTCAATAAAATTGAGAATGGAAATGGGGAATGTGTCAAAGAGACAACAACCCGACCAAAGAGCAGACAACAGCCGAAGGCCACCAATGGGTCTTCAATGCAGCGAGAAACTCCCGCACCCGGAGGCGTCCTTCAGCTGGCCCCTAAACAAATATGTATACTAGTTCAGTGATAATGGACGTCATACTAAACTCCAAATTATACACAAGAAACTAAAATTAAAAATGATACAAGACTAACAAAGACCAGAGGCTCCTGACTTGGGACAGGCGCAAAAATGCGGCGGGGTTAAACATGTTTTTTGAGATCTCAACCCTCCCCCTATACCTCTAGCCAATGTAGAAAAAACAAACGTACAACAGTACGCACAGTAAAACTCAGTTTAAGAGAAGTCCGAGTCCGATGTCAGAATAGGAAACAAAAGAAAATAAACAAAATGACAATAATACATAAATAACAACAGACTACTAGCAGTTACTGACATGCCAGCTCCAGACCTCAATTAAACTGATTGAAAGTTATGTCTTCATCATATGAATATCAGGCACAATCCCTCCTGTTAGGGGTTTAGTATTATACCATCATAAAATATATGAGAAGAACATAACCCGTGTCATGCCAACAACTGGTTTTAGAATAAATATGTTTAATTCCGATGCAAAGACCCTATAAGTGAATCAATATTAAAGCCAAAATATGCAATCTTTAATGACCTGACAACAGTATGGTAACTATATCCCTTCTAAATAAGTCTGTTTAAAGGTTTTGTTAGCTTTTGAGGTGAATACTGACATTTTTGTGCTTTGTAAAGAATATTACCATAAAAGATTGGATGTGAAATACCCGAACGTATAAGATGTCTGCATGTTGAGTTATATTTACGAATGATGTCCTTATACCGATGATAAAATTTAGTAAATGTTTTGACTAGTTTATGATACCGAAAACCCTGGTGTAATAATTTTTCAGTAATACATAAATTTCTCTCGCTAAAATCTAATACGTTGTTACATACACGAGCGAATCGTACAAGTTGAGATATATAAACACCATAAGATGGTGACAAGGGAACGTCACCATCTAAAAATGGATAATTAAAGATAGGAAATGAAAAATAATCTCTTTTATCATAAATTTTTGTATTAAGCTTCTCGTTAATGATATAGATATCAAGATCGAGGAAAGGACAATGGTCATTGTTAGTATTAGCTTTATTTAAAGTAAGTTCAACAGGATAAATTTCTTTAGTATACATACTGAAGTCGTCATTATTGAGAGCCAATATATCATCCAAATATCTAAAAGTATTGTTAAATTTTTGTATCAGATGTTGTTTCGATGGGTCTTTGCTGATTTTAGTCATAAATTGTAACTCATAACAATTACAAGCTTTTTTCTCCTCTTTTTAAACAGCTCCCTGCTGTCTATTTATTATATTTTTCAAGATAATAGACAGAAATACAACAATACTAAAAATGCTTTATTCAAGGGTAATAACTCCCATAAGAAGTCGAATGAAAGCTTTATCATATGGCATTTTTGTAGATCTTGAATGACCATGTGCATTTCTATTTATCTACTATAATTTACTAGTAAAAGGCAAAAATGATTTATTTGTTAAAAATCGTCATTTCCGACCAATAAGCGCTATAAGGTTGCGACTGATAATTTTGGTACAGACAGAGAGCTAGTATATCTTTACATTCTGAACATGTTTACCCCTTTCTGATTTTCTGCATCCATTTAGTTTTAGATATTGGAAAATAAGCTGCATTTTCCTTACGTCCTGTTATAGCTATGGTGACCGTGTAGGTAAATATGCCGGTATAAAATTATAAAACTTTAATCTAGATACCCTGTTCGATTTTTGAATCTATTCTGGTTTTAAAAATATAATTCCCCACATTTTCAATTCTATTCTATCTTTAGTCATCGTGGCCATGTTGGTAGAACTATATGGAACGCCACAGCTGTCTTATGTGGAACTCTGATACTACTTTATGTTGTTTTATTATTACTTGATTATATTTTGTCTTTACTTAATATGGTTTTGACATTACGTAATGATGTTTTGATATAACTCAATATGGAATAGTCATTACTTAATGATATTTCGATATTACACGATATGGTTTCGTATTGACTTGATATAGTTTTGTCATTACTCAATATGGTTTTGTCAATACTCGATGTGGTTTCACCATTATTTGATGTGGTTGTGTCATTAGTCAATGTGGTTTTAACATTACTTGATGTGAATGTGACTTAACGTTATGTAGTTGTTTCATTACATGATGTGGTTTTGGTATTTTGTAATGATGATTTTCCTATTTTTTATATGGTTTTAACATTACATAATGATGTTTTAAAATTTGACGATTTTACACTACATGATGTGTTTGTTTCATTATTTGATGTGGTCCTGTCATTCTTTGATGTGGTTATCCCATTACTTGATGAGGTAAAATCACGTGACCAATTCGGAAAAACCTGTTCTATTTTTAGATAGATTTCCATGTTGTATGTGCCTTGGATGAGTGTGGCCATCCATCGAATTAGAGTTCAAATTAAAGTTCGGGTTACTGTTTGAGTTATACTTTGAGTTAGTCTTCGATCTCGAATTCAAGTCATTATTAGAATTAAAGTTTTAGTTAGCATTGAGTTTCGAGTTGGACTTCGAGTTTGAGTCACATTTAAAGATAGAGTTCTAGTTACAACATTAAATTTGAGTCACTTTTTGAGTTTGAGTAAGATTCGAATTTAAGTCTCATTCAGATTAATTAAGATTTTGAGTTGAAATTCGAGCTATCTTATATGAGTTCGTAATTAAATTTTCTATCGCGGAACAAGGACTTTGCTCGGGCTTCCGAAAAGAGGGCTCCTGGGTATGCGTACAAAAGATAAACAATGTTACAGTATACAAAACGCAACATAAAAGTTGAAATAAAGTTAGATGTGGTGTGATTGACAATGAGACAACTATCCACCAGAGTTTAAATGCAGTAAGAAATCATATATAGGCAACCGTACAGCCTTCAACAAACCGTATAGTCAGCTACAAAAGGCCACCATGCACCATGTGAAAAAATTCAAACGACAAAACAAACGGTCTTATTTATATTTAAACAATCTTTAAAAAAAATGACACACATTTATACAACGACAACAATTGAACTTCATGCTCCTGACTTGGGGCAGGTACATAAAGAAAGTGCACGTGGTGGAGTTTAACATGTATGTGAGCGCTAATCCTAACCTTACATCGGACTGTTACAGTTGTGTAACAACACAAAACGAGAAAAAAATGTAAACTAGACAAAGTGATGCCCCCGCACTCAACTCATTTAAATTAACCGCTTATACCCCAAAAATGACAAAAAAAAGTTCAATTATCTCCCAAAAGAGCAAAAGATAATAAAAATAAACACCCTGACCACATGCACACCTTCAATAATTGTACAAAAAGACAGTAAAGAGAAAACTTCCTACGATTCAAACTGTAGGAGGAGTTATGCGGAATAACTATATATCCATAATGGGACGGACAGACGGACGGACGGACAGGGGTAAAACAATATGCCCCCCAACTTTCAGTTGCGGTGGCATACAAAACAGTTTCATTTGGCTGACTCAATAGATCGGTATGACTGGGTAATATAAATCCATCGGGGTGATCTCGGATGCTCCAGAAAGGCACCCGTCGTGTTATTCGAGAAAGTACAAACCCAGTGATTTGGTTTTATTTGGTATTTCACATTCAAGGAAAAGATAACGGTATTATGGTTACGACCACTGGAACATGTCCGTCGTCACATGTGAAACAGATATTCCAAAAAGTTTATTTTTCAATTAGTGCGAGGTAGATCAGGGAATTCAATTGATTACAAATAAAAGATTGATATCCATATAAGTTCGCTAAAACAAAATTCTGAGAATTCTTATTTTATAGTATTTATGCTTTGTCGCTAAGTCCGAGCCCCCATCCCCCCGTTTCCCTGTAACTTTAGTGTGAGTTGATTTGAAGTGTTTCATTTGTTAACAATAAAGTTCAAGTCTTTTGATTTGTGTCGAGCCTGCGACATCAATGTAGCGGCAGTGAGACACAACAAACCTATATTTCGTCGTCGATAGTGGCGTCGGCGTCGGCGTCTCCATCTCCATTTTTTTTTTTAATTTCTGTTGATTTTAACCTTTCATTATACATGTTAATAAACATGTATGCCATCATAATTTTGTACTTTTAGAATATCATACTGTATTTGTTTACCTCAACTATTGTATCTGAATTGATATTGTATGTTTCTCTGTAAACTTGTAATTAGTTTTTAGAGAATAAAGTATCTATCTATCTTTCTATCTATAGATCGTTAGGTTTCTAGTTTTTTACATTTTTCATTTCGGGACCTTTTATAACTTACTACAGGGTATAGGTTTTGCTTATTGTTGAAAACCATACAGTTTTGTTTTAGTTAAATAAAACCGAATTAAACTGTTTGACATGATACATTTGTAAACCTCCATGAAGTGTTTTAAAACTTGTATAGGAGTTATTCCTCAATTTCAAGAAAAAGCATCTACAGAAAAACATTTTTTTTATTTGTTTTTACCGATAAATGTATAATAGATAAATGTACAGCCGATCGACATGACGCTTTTACACTTACAGCAGCAATATCAGGCGAGACACAGGGTTTCGTGGAATATTTTACAAATTTATTACAAAATACTGCTTCCGTTTGAGAACTTAGGATAAAAACAACAAGACCAAGTGGTTTGGGAATATCCCAATTATGTACGAAATACTGTAAACTTTTTAATACTTTTTTTCTTATTATTGTCTGCCGTTCCCCTTTTTCATACCAAATAACTCTGAACAACCACTCGAACTTTAATTTGAACTTTAACTCAATGGATAGCGATACCCATCCAAAGCACATTAAACAAATGATATATTGAAATCTGTTTAAAAATAGAACATATTTTTTTCCGAATTGGTCACGTGATTTTACCTCATCAAGTAATGGGATAACCACATCAAATAATGACAAGACCACATCAAATAATGAAACAAACACATCATGTAGTGTAAAATCGTCAAATTTTGAAACATCATTACGTAATGTTAAAACCATATAACAAATAGGCAAATCATCATTACAAAATAACAAAACCACATCATGTAATGAAACAACTACATAACGTTAAGTCACATTCACATCAAATAATGTTAAAACCACATTGACTAATGACACAACCACATTAAATAATGGTGAAACCACATCGAGTAATGACAAAACCATATTGAGTAATGACAAAACTATATCAAGTCAATACGAAACCATATCGTGTAATATCGAAATATAATTAAGTAATGACTATTCCATATTGAGTTATATCAAAACATCATTACGTAATGTCAAAACCATATTAAGTAAAGACAAAATATCATCAAGTAATAATAAAACAACATAAAGTAATATCAGAGTTCCACATAAGACAGCTGTGGCGTTCCATAGAACTACGACATTGACCTTAATGATATTTTGATGTCTTACTGGATTATTACAATCTCAACAAAAATACATCAAATATTTCCAAGGTTATAAAATTTAATAATCTTACATAGAGTGAACATAATCAAATCAGATAATAGTAACCCTCATGTAACGCTTAGTCTCAAATGCCATTTCATTTGTACACAATTAAGTTAATTGGTGTATTCAAATGATTCCGACCATCCGGTACATTTCCAATGACACATTTATCGTATAACGATTTTCTGTATGATTTGCCCATATACTAGTATGAGACGGTCTGCAATAGGTTATATATCGAACTGGAACTACTGCTGGAGGCACTTCAAATGAGGATTCAATGGTACATAACCATAACTATATGTACCCAGGTTTTTACTATAATAAATGGTAAATATTAAAATTGGGAAACAAATATAAATAAGAAGATGTGGTATGAGTGCTAATGAGACAACTCTCCATTCAAGTCACAATGTATAAAAAGTAAACAATTATATGTCAAAGTACGGCCTTCAACACGGAGCCTTGGCTTACACCGAACAGCAAGCTATAAAGTGTCCCAAAATGACGAGTGTAAAAGAATTCAAACAGGAAAACCAACGGTCTAATCTATATACAAAAACGAGAAACGAGAAACACTTATGAACCACACCTACAAACGACGACCACTGAACAACAGGCTCCTGACTTAGGACAGGTCTAATCTATATACAAAAACGAGAAACGAGAAACACTTATGAACCACACCAACAAACGACGACCACTGAACAACAGGCTCCTGACTTAGGACAGGTGCATTTAAATGCATCGGGTTTAAACGTTTTAACAGTCGCCAACCTTCATCCTTACCCGAGATAGTAGTGTAACATTACAACATAAAAAGACACACTATAAAATATCAATTGAAATGGCTTAACTCGATCAAAAAGACATATAAACAAAAATAAGTAAACATACACTGAACGAATAAGTTTGATCTATGACACAATATAAATACAATATTAATATAAAAAAAGACGTAGCAACAGTGTCAAAAAGACAACTCTAACCTGGGACAAAATGGTGTTAACAAAATAACGTACACAGGTAAATTTAAATATAATAATTTTGTTGTTAGGAGTACGGAAACATTTTTTACAAAATTAATAAATTTGTTGTTCTATATAAAATTCTTATGTTGCTGCTCAAGACAAAGATAACGTCATGCATCTCAACCCAGTATTATGATCGCCTTAATGGTATAAATAAATGTTGGGAAGCAGATATTCAACTCTCGACAACAAAGAAAGTGTTTGAACGATAATTTTTAAATATATTGATTGATCAATGGAAGCTTACAATACAGCAGAGAATATAACATGCATATTCAGTACGATAACACTTTAATGAGATAATAATAATACGTCCTGACACTCGATTCGAACATGCTTCCACAAAAACACCGAGTTGGGATTTATAAATGGAATAGAAATTGTTGTACATGGTATATATATGTACTATTCGTTGCCGGATCATAACCTCAATTACTTCAATCGCATTAAGCTGTGTGATTGCCGTCATTCCACCAAAAGTCACTAAACCCGAATGAAACGCAAACTCCACCTGGAAAGTATCCTTATACACTGGTACCATCAATTAATTGCAGATCAGGCGTTACCGTTACAAAAAAAAGTCCGGACATGTACAATTTTCATGAAATTTTCTAAGAGTTGTAATTCCGTGTAAAAGTTGGTGTATAGTGTTACTTATGTCCATACTTTCGTCATTGTAAAATCAAACAGTTTTCGTACTTTTTTGTAATGCCTTCAGATATTGATCTGATTTTCTTTACATAAGTGGTGTTGACTTAAAGATTCAGTTTGAGTTTCGTCCCAGTTGACCATAGCCACTTTGTGGCAGATAAAAAAATGCTCCTCAAGGCGCAGCTTGAAATGACCGCAGAGGTCGAGCTCTGAATAGTTGGGGAAAGTACAAAACATCAAGAAATCATTTTTTTTTTGTTGAAATCAAACAAAGACTTATACTCAAGTTATGTCCGGCTACCAGAATATCCTTGTTTTTTTGGGCTCCTAATTCCTTAATGGTTTGGGCCATAGCCCCCAAAATCAATCACAACCTTCCTTTTGAGGTATGGAACCTTGTGGTACAATTGCATAGAGATCCATACACTTATTCACAAGTTATTGTCCTGAAACAAGAAAAATGCTTGTTTTTGGACCCTTTTTGGGCCCTAATTCCTACATAGTTAAGACAATAACCCCCTTAAATCAATCCCAACCTTCCTTTGGTGGTATTGAATCTTGTGGTACAATCTCATAGAGACCAATACACTTATACAAAAAAGTTATTGTCTGGAAACCAAATGCGTGAAACTTGTTTTGTTATACGATATAATTTAATGTCCTAGTCTTGTCTATCCTGCTCTCTCCTTTTTCGAGAGACGTTTAGTTTTAAAATAATATAATCACAATGAAAACAACATAGTCAAATATAACAGAATATGTAAGAGTAAAATAACAAATTGATACCACAGTAAACAAAATCATGCAATACATAGTTACATGTCTGGCGTACACAATTTTAATCCTGGTATCTATGATGAGTTTTTCTCACACATGACATGACCCTTTGTAGTCACTTCGGTTTTTTTTAATTTTAAAGGCAGATATATAAATGATGTATACAGCAGTTTGACAGGATAGTTTTATTTTAGTAAAAACGTTGATCGAATCTCATCTAATTTTAAATAAAGGATGTCACAGACATAACTACATCTGCTTCTTATCTTAAATACACCGACAAATTGACAATAAGGGTCGGTTTAGTACTAAACTTTCCGAATTCAATATAGTCTAACAAATTTACAGACATGTTTTTTTAAAGGATATAACTCCTAGAAATAACGTGTTTTACGGAAGAAAACAGAACAGTTCCCAAAAATTTGAAGACGGCATCAATCTTTATGTTTTGTTTAAAATATCTAAAAGTATTGACATTTCAAATGCTAAAGAGTTCTCTTATTATTATATAATCGTCAGCATATTTCAGCATATGAAAAATAGAACATATGGGGTATACGTCATATCAACCTAGCAACCAAAAAAACCTTCAAAAGTGTACATATAATAACATTCGGGAACTATTTGCCACTTGACGATAAACAGCCAACAATAAAAAAAAACACTATATTTTGTCATATACATAGGTATATACAAGATGTTGAGATGAATAAACTAATAGCAATCTTAAAAATCAAATAGTCGTGAGAGATAAAGTAAACAAAATATCAAAAAACTAAAATTTAAAATCTAAATCAGAAAAGAAAAAATAAATCATGCCTATCAGTTAGTGATTTAAATAAGTTTTCAAACTAAATTTCCAGGGAATGGACTTTTCACACTCGTTTTTCCCCTGAATGGGTAGCTGTTCGACCTTTTTCTGCAATCGTGGACAACTGTTTTATTAACTCTGAGACGAAATAAAATTGAGAATGGAAATGGGGAATGTGTCAAAGAGACAACAACCCGACCAAAGATCGGAAAACAGCCCAAAGCATGAATTTCATATTATTATGATTTCTAACATATAGCATACCTGTTTCATGGATTCATAATGTAAGGTATGTATCGGGTACTCAGGGTTATCTTCCATGACTCTTTCCCAGTCTAATGTGTACTCAAACCAGAAACCATAATCAACTGAAAATAAAAATATACAATTTGTGACTAAATATCTCAATATGAGGGTTTCTTATCGTCGAGTTGCCAGTTGCGAGTTGAAAAGGCCGATTTGCGAGTTACAAAAGTCGAGTCGCGAGTTAAGAAAGTCGAGTTGCGAGTTAAGAAAGTCGATTTGCGAGTTACGAAGGTCGAGTTGCGAGTTACGAAGGTCGAGTTGCAAGTTACAAAAATATTATGTTTCTCTAATTTCTTAAGAATTATATATATAAACGGTCGTATACATAAACGGTCGTGTCGTCTGATTTTTTAAACAGAATTTTCAGGTTTACTTTGCATTTAATAAAATAAATGGAGAATAATTCCCCATGGACACAGATGATGCCCCCGCTTGCATACAACACTATAAAGGGACATAACTCAAGAACAGTAAAAGTGACGCTACCCAAATTTGTACTTGATCTTAGTTTTGTGGTAATAAGTATTGTGTATAGGTTTCATGTTTGGTTGGGGCAAACTTTTAAGTTACAGAATGGAAACTAAAAGTTTGCAATTTTTCGATTTATACAGGGGCATAACTCAAAAATGGTTAAAATGACACTACCGAAATTCAACTTGATCTGTGTTTTATCACTGAAATATACTTGCAAATTATCGACATCTCACAGAATATGGCACTGTGTTTGGCCTAAAGTAAATACTTATCAAAGGTACCAGGCTTATAATATTTTCTACGCCAGACGCGCGTTTCGTCTATACAAGACTCATCAGTGACGCTTGAATAAAGGATATTCATTGGCATACCAAGTGCAAACTCTTCGTCTTTCGCAAAGGTTTAGGACAATAAAGGCACAATTGCACATTTAACTTAGGAAAATATCTCATGAATTAGTCAGAAATGTGATATGCTATGTGCTTTATGTGATAAATTAAATAATTTTGAACTTTGTTAACTTTGTGATTCAACCCCAAGCGGAGAGTGCATATATATACCGAATAGTTAATAATCGAGTTGTTCAATGTATGTATATCTGAATACTACAACGCAAAAATAAGCATGCTATAGATGTCTTTCTATGGTATTATGGTAACTTCCTGGCATAGATCATAATATGGATATTTTTTTAATTTGGAAAGACGTTATTAAGCTATACCGCTTTTACAAAAAAAAAAGGAACAGTTTTAAGGAATGTTATGGCGTGTTTTTACGGTATGAGCACGAAAGCCTTGTCTGTCACAAGTTTACTTTTTGACCTGCATGCAGCCTTGATACAAATGTTGTTGTTTCAGATATCAGCTGGGTATTGTACATTTTTCCAAAAATGTGCTTCCTTTTCATTTTAATATTATGCATAGCCTGTCACGAGAGCACCTGAAAAAAGTTTTACCCGGGTAAGTATGGCATCAAGTTGTACTTTCAGGCATCTGCCATCCATATTTTGGAGAGGTGTAGGTTTTTTTTTTTAAATATTTGTTTGATTCTGAATTCCTTGAGAAAAAATGTGTAGAATGGAAGTGAATAAATTTAAAGATTATTTCTACTGAAAATTAGGAGAAAATATATATATTGACATTAACTTTCTAATAAATTGTTCGGATTTTAATGAAAACAAAACACATTTGGTGTTTTATTTTTGGAAATATTTGTAAATAAATGTGGAATGTGTCCATGGGACACAGATGACGCCCTCGCTTGCATATCATATAAAGATATAAAGGGACATAACTGAAGAATGGTAAAAGTGACGCTACCCAAATTTGTACTTGATCTGAGTTTTGTGGTAATAAGCATTTTGTATAAGTTACATAACATTTGGTTGAGGCAAACGAAAGTTAGAGAACGGAAACGAAAAACTCAACAATTTTTATGTTTATAAAGGACATCACGTGATGGCACTCAATTTCAAACATGATCTGTGTTTTGTAGTAATAAGCATTGTGTATAAGTTTCATAACATTTGGTTGAGGCAAACAAAAGTTAGAGAACGGTAACCAACTTTGGGACGTACGGACGTACGAACGGACATACGTACGTACAGACGGACAAGGGTAAAACTTAATGCCTCTTCAGGTACGGCGGGGGCATAAAAATGTATCCTTAAAGGACGCATGCACCCCAAAAAATGAACTAGATAGCCATTGTACATTATATAAAACAACGTTTATTATATACTGAGTAGTAAAAACAGACAAATTGTATATGTAATACAGTCAACTGCAACTATTTTATATCCGCCACGATATCGCGGCTGTATGTGTATGACGTCACGTAATCAATATCAGTCTCGTTACGTCACGTCACGTGAAAAAACTTCTACGTGAAGTATAAAATAAATTATAGTATATGATATGGCATTTTCAATATAACACACCGTATGAACCCTCGACCAATATAATCCCACGAGCAGAGGTCTCGAGGATTATATTGATGTCTCGGGTTGATACAGGTGTAATATTAAAAAGATCATATGATATTCTCTATTTATTCTTTACTTCGGGTTTTAATGTAGAATGTAGGTTTTCCATGGTCAGGATAAAAATCGAGCAACACGTTATACAGTGGTGCACCTATACAGGAGCAAGGTCCTCATGCCTGTCAGACAGTTTTCACTTGACCTTGACCTCATTTCATGGATCAGTGAACAAAGTCAAGTTTTCGTGGTCAAGTCCATATCACAGATGCTATTATCAATAGGTCTTCTATATTTGGTATATGGAATGATTGTAAGGTGTACACCTCCAACTGGCAGGTGTCATCTGACCTTGGTCTCATTTTCATGGTTCAGTGGTCAAAGTTAACTTTTGTGTTTTGGTCTATTTCGCAGATACTATAAGTATTCAGTCAATTATATTTTGTTGTATGGAATGGTTGTAAGGTGTACATGTCTGTCTGGTAGTAATCATCTGACCTTGACCTCATTTTCATAGTTCATTGATCAATGCTATTTTTTTCTTGTTTGGTCTGTTTTTCAGATATTGTAAGAAATAGGTGAACCATATTTGGTTTATGGAATGATTGTAAGGTGTATATATATGTCTTGCATGTTTCATCTGACCTTGACCATATTTTCATGGTTCATTGGTCAATGTTGAATTTCTCTGAATTGTTCTGTTTTTCAAATACTTTTCAAATAACTAAAAACGCTTTAAAACTGCACTTTTTTCATATTGATGTAAAAATGTTTTGACGTTTTATAAAGACAATTCAAACTTTATTTAATCAATTTCCAAACTACTGCACAATGAGCTTCGTGTAAAAAAAAATTAAAAGAGTTATATTTGTCGGCATGTTATTCCTAAATTAACTTGATTGATTTGGGTATGATTAACCCGTTTTGTTGAAAGAAGTTACATATTCCAAAACTTTTGTCTCTTTTACAAAAGTATCTTTGAAAGCTACATGTATAAAATATAGAATGGAAACGGGGAATATGTCAAAGAGACAACAACCCAACAAAAATATACAAGTCAACCCAAGGCCACCAATGGGTCTTCAACACAGCGAGAAATCCCACATCAAGAGGCAGCCCCGAGCAGGCCCCAAAACACAATGCACGCTAGATCAAGAAAATGGACGCCATTCTATGCTCCGAAACATATAGATGAACCAAAATTTAAAAATATACAAGACCAACAAAGGCTAGAGGTTCCTGACTTAGGACAGACGCAAAAATGCGGCGGGATTAAACAGGTTTTATGAGCGCTCAACCGTCCTCCTTCACCTCTAGTCAATGTAGACATATATAACTTAAACGTCCACAATTTTGAGTGTCACTGCCAAAGAATAAATTTTGGGGTCCCTAACAAATATTGCCTCTGCAGCTGCCCCAAAGAGCCCACTCTTAACGAAATCTGGAGAAGGGGTCTTTTACATATATGTACTATAGTTTAGTTGCTATCTCCCTTTACGTTTTATATGACGGTGCTAGCTAGGAAATTTAATAATAATTAAGCTACAAGCCATCCGCTGTATTTCAAAAGGCTATCTGTTTCTTCAGAAAATAACCATACTTATGTAAGCAAACCATTTATTTTTTTACAAGTGACCCAGATGAAATCCAAACAACAAAAAGAATCAACAATACTGTATACAATTCTATAAGCAATCATCATTCAAAAATGTTAAAGAGGTACACCAAAAAATTAAAACAGTTTTCCCCATTTTCACGCAAATCTAATTTTGTAACTCGCAACTCGACTTTTGTAACTCGCAACTCAACTTTCGTAACTCGCAACTCGACTTTCGTAACTCGCAACTCGACTTTCGTAACTCGCAACTCGACTTTCGTAACTCGCAACTTGAGTTTTGTAACTCGCAACTCGACTTTCGTAACTCGCACCTCGACTTTCGTAACTCGCAACTCGACTTTTGTAACTCGCAACTCGACTTTTGTAACTCGCAACTCGACTTTCGTTACTCGTAACTCTACTTATGTAACTCGCAAATCGATACTCGACAACAAGTGAATCTCCTAAAATATATTTTACCAATTTTTAGCATAACTTTATTTCATGACAGAGTAAAACGAATCGTCTCACATGAAAACAGATATGCTTACCATCATAGCACCTGATATCACACTCAGTTGTAATGGCAGTTCACATTGCCCAAAGCTTTAATTTCAAACGTTCACCGTTTGAATGTCTGTAAACCAGACTCATTCCTTTTAAATTGTACCAATTATTATATATAAATGTATTGTCCTATGACGTTTATTTTTAATGTTAAAAATATATTGCAAATTTTGATTTTTAATTTAAAGTAGTTTAATTGGAAAATCACTTACATAATTTCAGTGGCGGCATTAGTTAGTATGGAGTTGGGAAAGGGTGAAAGAAACCGTTTTGCATTATTAAACTTTATTTGATAAAAAAATCTTTTGAAACTGTTGAATTCATTACGTTTTAGTTTTTTGAACCGCTTTAAAGCCCAATATATAGTGTTGATAAGCTTCTTGGCCGGGTTTTCAGTTTTTAACCCCTTTTCCTAATGCCTATCAGTAATTACATAAGAATCAAGAACTGTAAAAAGACTTACCATCCCCCTCCAGATACCTTGTTAAATAATGTTCCCATGAGCCGGAATATTCATATTCTAAAAATTTGGAATGATGGTTGTAAAATGACACGGCCACATCTTTTGGATTTCTCAGAATGTACAAAATTTTACATTTCCTATTCTTAAAGTCTTTTGGTAAATGACGGAAATATATATGTGTATTCAGAATTCTAGGTGAAAGAAGACTGTCAAAATTAGCTTGCTCCATGCCTTCTATCATGTTCCATTCTTTTATGGCATCTATGCGTTCCGCTTTCTTTTGCTTTAACATTGAGACTATCTCCCATAACCAATGTGTGCCTACAATCAGATTATTTAACTTACATATAAAATATGTATATAATGACAGTAATAATCTCGCCAGATATCATTAAGAAGTGACGTAGATGTTGGTATACTCGTACATATAGTATTGAATGTACATGGCTTGAAATTAGATACATGACAAACCATATAGCTACATGTACATGTGTGACCTTTTACGTCCATTCCAAACAACTATGCTCTGATATGAGACAAAATAGAACAATATGTCGTCCATGCCTGGTAATTGGTATCGTATTTGATCTAGTAATGGGCCTCAACATCAGGAAACAGTTAGTCCCTTGGAGATATTAACTAGAAATGGAGAAATGTATTCGGTAATACAAGTTGGGTCTGAAATAAAATGATGTTAACCAAACTGTCGTTAGTGGTATTTCTAGTCCTGTAACCACAGACACTTGTCTCTGAATGGCAAGTGCTGTGCCTATAACATATGACCTCGGGGCAATATTATTTATTTTTGTTTTTTTTCTTATATTTTCTTTATACTAATTTTGTAATTTGTTATTCGCTCGCAACTACTATATTTAATTTACAAGATAAGGCAAGATCGATAGGTTGTTACGTGAAAGGTCACGTTTCCATCCTCAATGTTATTATATAGGTATGTTTAGCATACCATTAATATCTAAAAAAAAACAATTTGTAAAAAAAATGTATTCGTTCCAGATCAAAGAGAACTAATTCTGCTCAGGATTGGGCAGAGTTTTGACTGAAAGTTTCGTTTGCTATGTAGTTACTGAATCAGCATTTGTTTTTTTTTTTTTTGCCTTCACCACAATGCCATAGAAACCACAACCCGTTATTTGCGTCAGCAGCATTTTCATAACATTATAAACAGCTATCTTCTGAAGAGCCAATTTTTGCTTCGTGGTTCAATGGAAAAGTACCTTAAACACTAAAATGTCTAGGCAGTTCAAGCCTGTATATTCAATAGCGCATGATCACTAATATTTGTTCATCAGGTCCACAATGTTAACACGTACTAAACTATACATTGTAATAATATTGTAATTGCTTAATGATCTGATATTGCTGTTTTTTTTTTGTGCTCACAATATAACATTTCTCTTGTTTGTGTTTGTTATATTCAACACATAGATATAAGAAGATGTGGTATGAGTGCCAATGAGACAACTCTCTATCCAAGTCAAAATTTATAAAAGTAAACCATTATAGGTCACAGTACGGTCTTCAACACGGAGCCTTGGCTCACACCGAACAGCAAGCTATAAAGGGCCCAAAAATTAATAGTGTAAAACCATTCAAACGGGAAAACCAACAGTCTAATCTATATAAAAAACGAAAAACGAGAACACTTATGAACCATATCAACAAACGACAACCACTGAACATCAGATTACTGACTAAGAACAGGTGAACATAGCTTTTTAACAGTAATTTACATATGAAATGTCCTTAATAAAATTAGGAGACGGATACATAGAAGCAAACAACTTGTTTCCGAATCCTATTTATAATTCAACTGTAATCATCTCTTCCTGCTTAGTTGTATATTGTAATATAAATACTCCAATTAATAAACTTATTATGTTTACATTGAATCTAATACCTCGTGTAACGGAATTTTTAATGAACCCTTTCGTTGATGGTCTGTTACAAGGCAAATTTTCCGCCCTATCCAAAATATCTTCATTTTCTAGTGGCAGACCATCCTACACCATAGTCGATTAACAATGCAGAATCAATCTAAGGTTACCAAGTACAACGTTTTTTCTTCTCTATAATTTTTTAACAAAATAATTTTAAAGTACCAAATCTGTACAAACCTGATTTAGGGTATGCACTGACGAGTAAATCATCATCTCTAGCTTTCCATGTAGGCAGTGTGGCATATTCTTGGGCGTGTGTTGGAAATGGAAACGGTGGAATGTAGAAACCGTCATGTTCCAGTATCTTCGGTTTACTTCCATCCTCTCCCATCAAAAAACTTTACAGACATCCTATAGAAACAAACCATTTAATAAAGCATTTCAATTCTTCTAAACGAGATTATCGATATGGAGAAAAAGAAGAAATTAATTCTCGAACTGTCTGACTATTGACTGTGTTATCCCTTGAGGAGTTTCCGTGGAATCGGTGATAAAAACAAGTTGCTATGACATTTAAAATAGTTATAATAGCACCTTCATAACCGCACATGACAGTGAATTCAATAAAGTCTAATTAAGAGTTGAAGATTTGAAAAATAATTGTGTGGTTTTCTGTAAATAGCATAGCTGTATACATTGTGGCAGCGAAAGATAATTTTGTGTGTGTTTATATTTGTGTTTTTGTAGAGGCGTGCAAAGAGACGTTAGACAAGAATGGTTTGTAACCATCCCTTCCCTCCTGTTCAACCGCTTAAATATTTAGTAAAAGCTACTTACTACGTATATACCCTTCAGATACCTCTAGTTATTTATAGACTCCCTATTGTCCACATTTCATCAATTTCATATGATATTTAGTAATAATTCTTTAAAAAATACACCATAATTCATGAATTTTGATCATTTCTATTTAATTGCACATTTTCATATTATTCTTGTGTGTGTTAAAATCACTTTAAACCGTCTTTAACCTACCTGCAAAAACTTTCAACAACTGTAATCCTACTTATTAATCGATTCTATTGGGATAGCTAATAGGATATATTTGTAAATGTCAGAAATGATAGTGTCGATTTATAAGGACACACAATACTGAAATAATTGCTGTACCGTTGAAAAGGTGAAAGTTTAGGCAGAAAATCAGTAAAATAAACATTGATAAATCGTCTGGTAGTTGCATGAGCTCCGGGGTTGTAAAAAATTTATAACGGTAACTTATTACAACATTTCAGTTGTAAGTTACAATACCTTTGAGGCTGAATGTTCTTGTCGAATGAAATATGTTATCAGTATCTGAAAAATGCTACACCGTTTTAATATGATTTCAGAATAGTGTATGACAGATCTCTAATTACATAATATTCACAAAAATATATTAGTCTTTTATGAATGTTTTTTTGTTCGGTATAATAAAACACTTACTGACTGGTTATGAGTGTAATAGCAAGTTTGTTGTCCCTTTGAAACTAACTATTGCCCTCGGCTTTGCCTCGAGCAATAGTTGGTATCTCAGGGACGACAAACTTGCTATTACCCTCATAATCAGTCAATAGGTGTATACTAATATTAACGGGGACCTTGTCATAATACATCTGTATAATATACGAAATTATTTACAAATGATTTAGTATTAGTTTACTCAATACAATTATCACCCCCCCCCCCCCCCCCCAAAAAAAAAGAAAAAGAAAAAGGAGGGTTTAACTGTTATGCTGTTATGGGGCAATTTAATTCTTTGTTATCTGTTATTCAGAAAATTTATTTGCTGTTAGCTGTTATTGTCTTATTCCTTGTTAGCTGTTATAGGACTATTATTTTTTTTGTTATCTGTTATTGCGAGAATGTATTTGCTGTTAAGTGTTATTGAAAATTGGAATGTTAGCATTTTGACATCCAATCTTCAGTAGAAATTGAAGATAATTGAACATTGTGACTTGGGTGGAGAGTTGTCTCATTGGCACTCATACAACATCTTCTTATATCTATTAGGGTCTTTCCACTGGCACTGCTAATATGGTGGTCCCTTATTTGCAGAAGGATTCCAGTAACATACATCACATAAACGAAAAAAAACAACAATCGGATCCATTCCAGTATATATTATTATTATCATTTGTAATAAATTCCATTGTCTTTGAATATGTATTTAGATTATCATTTGTACAAATTATAATTTGTATTTTGACTTTGTACACATTTTTTGTACAAGTACTTTTTTGTAACAATTTGTACATAATTTGACTAAAATTCACTTATAACTTGTACAATAACTTATAGTATGAATTTTGTTATAAAAGACATCGGTACACCCTATAGAATTGTTATTCAATGACCACATAATAAACCTTATGTTGTACTGTTACACCACTGTCCTAGGTTAGGGGAGGGTTGGGCGCCAACTAACATGTTTAACCCCGCCACATTCTGTATGTGGCTGTCCCAAGCCAGGAGCCTGTTATTCAGTGGTTGTCGTTTGTTGTTGTGTTAATAAGTTTTTCGTTCATTATTTTGTGGATAAATTAGGCTGTTTGTTTTCTCGTTTGAATTTTTTACATTTGTCATTTCATGGCTTTTTATAGCTGACTATGCGGTATGGGTTTTCCCATTGTTGAAGGCCGTTTGATGGGCTATAGTTGTTAATTTCTGTGTTATTTGGTCTGTTTTGGAGAGTTGTCTCGATGGCAATCATACCACATCTCCTTTTATACTTATTTACAAAATACAAAAATAGCTCTGTATCATTTGTTTGAGCATGTGAGTGAATTATGGCTTTAGGAATTACACACCATCTTTTGCATTGAGCATTTACATTTAGAAGCGCTACTCCCCCTCTTTGCATTTACATCAAAGAGGACCCTGACCACCAATTTTTTTAAAGCTTTTTACCTGCTTCACATAGCGAAAGTTGAAGCTCAGAAACTGTTGATGCAAACAAAGATGTGTCTTTAACAGCTTCAATTTAATTTCTCGACAAATATCCTTTTAAATATCCTACAGCTGTTCGAATGCGGTACCCAAATTCTCCATGTTCAATCACAAAAGACGCATGATTGGTATTTTACTTGGTGTCATCCAAATTATTACTCGGGCCAATTTCTATTATATTATCAGAATTGTCACTTGGGCCAATTTCTATTATACTATCAGAATAGTCATCATCCATACTATAAATTGCTTTTCAGAAAAAAAGTTCTAAAATCAAATTAATATATGAGGTCACTGGCTTCATTTTCTTGAAAAATAAAACAACCCCACAAAATTGATCTATCAAATGCCCCAGATTTTAAAATATTCCTTCAACAAAAACAGAAACTAGTAATTTTGTTCAGAAAAATTCAACATCCGTACTATAAATTATTGTACAAGTTTTAAGTGAATTTAAGTCGAAATTTGTACATGCACTTTTTGTACAAATTACAATTTGTACAAAGTCAAAATACAAATTATAATTTGTACATTTTTTTTTTTGTACAAAGTCCAAATACAAATTATAATTTGTACATTTTTTTTGTACAAAGTCCAAATACAAATTATAATTTGTACATTTTTTTTGTACAAAGTCCAAATACAAATTATAATTTGTACATTTTTTTTGTACAAATCATAATTTGAACAAAATTATAACTTGTACACAACATATATAAAAGACGTTTATGTTATGGTCGTATGGACCTAGGCCTATCCTCATCAGGTATCCCTATTATAGCCATATGTTTTCCTTTTTCTTGATATTAAGAATTGTCTGAATTTGAATTTTACGTATATATGGGAATAATGTTCCTTGTTTCCCCATGCGTACATATTAAATTCAAATCAATTATTAATATAACAAAAAGGAAAACATATGGCCAGGGATACCTGATGAGGATCATAAATAAAATGTATATATATATATGTCTCTGTTAAGGCCTAGCTATGTCCATACAACCAGTTATATGTATATAGTATTAATTAATAAGATCAACTGGATTGGTCGTGGACCGTACTGATTTTAATATTTCATTTACTGTTATCTGTTTTTATCCCTTTTCAATTCCTTGTTATCTGTTTTAAGCCAAATCAATTCACTGTTTTGCTGTTATTGGAACCCCCCTTGCCCCCTCAAAAAAAAGGTATTGTCAATTTCCTCTATATTGTGTCACTAGCAGGTTCAACATCGGAAGGTTGTTGAAACCTATTAGAATTTGAATTTGACATTTATCCATAAAACCAAAATGTTATTCAGTGCTGCACATTGCTGTTAAAGACAGACAATTATAAACAATACTTATAGAGTTTTTATAATGATATATATAGAATAAAGGACTTTTTGTTTTTGATACTGACTTTATCACAATAAAATATCAAGTGAGCCCGAAGGGCGAGCCTTATATTTTACTGTGATAAAGTCAGTATCAAAAACAAAAAGTCCTTTATTCTTTTTATCGGTAATTATGAAAAAATAAAAATCACCAACTATAAAGAAAATAACAAACGAACTACTTTTTCGCGTCGAATCACGGCGAATCACACTTGACGTCACAGGCTGCATTACGTCATTTGAAATTTTGTCACAGTGCAGTAAACATGCAGTTGGAAAGCAAGCCATTGGAAACGTCCGTTGTCGTCTAGGTTGGTCCCCTCCGTAAAATATTCAGTATGCCTTCGGAATATACGGTATT